TTTTTTTAAGAGTAGTGGTAGCTTTCTGTTTCCTGTTTGTTAACTTTTGTTAACTTTCATTTTTGTAAGAATCGGGGAGGAAAAAGTAGGTTTAAGAACTGATGGGAGGGCGACGCTGGGTCTCTTGATTGGCGCCACTCTGACCCATCCCTGCCTAATTTCTATAATAAAAAAAAAAGGAAAAAAGTTAGCAACCTTCCATAGAATTAATTCAGTTACTCAAATATTTCCCTTTCCCCCTTCCTTACCTTTCCTTTTTCCTGTTTCCTTTCCTTTTTTTCCCCTTTCTTTCCTTCGGATTCAATTTATTGCAAATGTTATTCATCAAAAGGACTTTGCTATGTGAATTTCATTCTTTTAACTGCCAGGTCCTTCCTGCGGCTCTGCGGGGAAGTAACATATTCAGACAGCCATTCTACGCCGTATCAACTCTTGTCTGTATTGGCAACCCATGATTTGTGGCTTATTCCGTTAGCCCAACATTGTGAGTTTGCATGACCCAGGAACCCTAAGTAACTTAGATAAGATGGGTTACACATCAAGGCTTGGCTGAAACTTAGTGAGTAGCTGAGTAAAAGTGTGAAGGTAATTAACTTCTTGAGAAGTTTTCTCCTAAACTGATCATTTATGCTACTCCTAATCAGTGTAAAAGCCTAAAAGTTATTTATTATGTATGCATAGATTGAAGTGTTTGTCCCCAAGAAAACAGGCCAACAAACCAACCATTATCTTCACAGAGATTTGATTAACTATCAAGCCAGGATGGTCATCGTACTTGGTCCTTTGAAAAACCCACTTCCCCAGATCTTTCCTATTTACCCAGCTTTGATCTGTGGCTCTTAATTCAGGTTAACAAACATTCCTCAAACATCTTTTGACTTCTGTCTTCCTTGTACAATTCATATTTCTGCTTTGCACTCGGGACAACAGCAAGATAATCACCAAAAGGATATTATTAACAGAGGAGGTAGGGAAACCCTATAATCCTTCGGGACTCTGGCACAGAATAAAGTAAAACCATAGTTCAAAATTAGCCCAGGTTTTCATAGGCCTTCATTCAAGGCTTGTTGAAGAAATGCAGAACAGACCATCCAAAACTTACCCAGAAAACTACCCTGCTTCAAATACCTGAATTCAGACAGTCCTGAACTCCCAAACGTGGGGAAGACGATGTTTTCCCAACTTTTAGTGGATATTTCTGGGGCTGGACTTCTTAGGAAAAGCCTCTTTTTGAAGGACAGGAGATTGTAGCTTGTTTCTCAGGTCTCGCGCTGACCTTTGGAACGGAGCACCAGAGAAACCGCCGGGGAGATAAATCTCGGGCGATCCTGGGTTCAAACCGAATGACCTTCTCTTCCCGATAAGCCGAGATTCCATGCAGCATACTGTAGGCGTGAGCAAATCAACGCATCGTTTTTTGTATAGCATCGGGTACCAGCCGAAGGAGGAGGTTGAACATTGCTATTGATTCCCCACATCTGTGAAATGGGTTTCTTCTTTCTTTGCACAGAATTGAATATGGCAGTCTCTGCTCTCTTTAAATCAGAACCCAAAATAGGTCAGGAGGACAAGTTGGTTGCATAAGCTAGCTTGGACCGAGTGTCTTCCCCCACTTAACAGTTGTATAACTATGGATGTGGAAAGAAGTTAAGGCCTTGAGACCTCAAAAATAAACAGGTCGCTGTGCCCTCATGTCCTACAACAACCTATTGTTGATTCCTCCTCCAAGGTCTCTGCTTGGCAAGCTGTTTCTTTTCCAATTGGCACATTTTCACCAGCCAAAGAATTCCCCCCAACCTGCCCCCACCCTTCCTTTCAACTGGCCTGCAATCTGGGTTTACGATCGGGAATCCTTGGTTGGCCTCTGAGCTTGGTGGTTTTCTTGCAGACTTTTATATATATATATATATATATATTTATACATTTATACATTTATTATTTATTAGTCCAATTTATATGCCGCCGTTCTCCATAGACTCAGGACTGCTTACAATGCATTATAGCAATAGCCTGCATACATTTTATGTATATACCTGCTTATTAGGGCTTTCGGGGGCCCCCTAAGCGATACAAAGCTGGCTTATTGCCCCCACAATCCGGGTCCTCAATTTACCTACCTCGAAAGGATGGAAGGCTGAGTCAACCTTGAGCCTGGTGAGATTTGAACTCGCACTAATTGCAGGCAGCTGGCAGCTAAGTGCTAGCACTTAACAGTACTTAGTCCGCTGCACCACCGAGGCTCTTTTCTTTAACATACATAAGTGCTTAGTAAACTCTATCATCTGAGTCGATTTACCTTATACATAATAATACCATGTTTCCCCAAATATAAGACCCTGTCTTATATATTTTTTTTTGAACCCTGAAATAAGCACATGGCCTTATTGCCATGCGCTCAAAAGCCCGATTGGGCTTATTATCAGGGGATGTCTTATTTGGGGGGGAAACAGGGTAGTAATAATAATAATATTATTTACTTGTAGATAATGGTATTCATCCAGCTTCTAATTCCTACCTCTCATATCTAACCATGGATAGAACAAATCCCGTGTTAAAAAATAATCTGCATCTTCTTTATCCTTTATCTTTAATGTTAACCTATCCTTTTCTGTCTTGCTGATGTTTTATTACCCAAATCTCTACCTCCCTCCCAAAAAATCTCACCAAGCTCAGAGAGCACCAAGGACCCCTCGTTTCAACCTGCAAATATTCCCCCTTCTTGGATTTATTATTTATTGGATGAATGGATAAAAAGAACGGATAAGTTTGGTTGTGCCAGATTGTGGCGTTAAATACAGTTCACCCTCAACTTAGAGTTCGCTTAGTGACCGAAGTTACAACGGCACTGAAAAAAAACAATGACTTATGACCATTTTTCACACTTACGACCATGGTAGCATCCCCCAGGGTTGCGTGATTTACATTTGGAGGCTTGGCAACCGAACTCACAATTTATTTTTTAAATTTTTAAAACGTTTTTTTATTAATCATTCAAAAATTAAATTTATGACGGTTACAATGTCACCCGGGGCAGATTCTGGGATCTCCTATTCTGACTTTCTAACAAGCCAAGTCCGGCGGGGACACCACCAGATTCGTTGAACGACCCTGTGGCTCGTTTAACGGCTGCGGCGATTCGCTTAACAAAATGGAGCAAGAGTCCTTTCACCCCGTTTCTCAGTTAGCTACAGAAGTGTGCGCCCTCGGAGACGTCAGATTCGTTGAACGACCCTGTGGCTCGTTTAACGGCTGCGGCGATTCGCTTAACGAAATGGAGCAAGGTCCTTTCACCCCGTTTCTCAGTTAGCTACAGAAGTGTGCGCCCTCGACTAGGTTGCACAAAATAGCGCAGGGGTTCCAAAGACTTTAGTGAGTGAGCCATTTTGTTTCAGAAGGGTAGCTAGAGAGAACAAAGGAGGGGGGGAAATATCCAGACACACAAATCTTAACGGTACTTTAAAAGAGAATTACTGGAGCTTGTCAACACCGCATTGCTGTCTTTCAGTCCATCTTCTCCAGCCAGGAATTGATCCACGATGGAAACCACGGGACTACCAATCGAATCGGGGAGGGGGTCTCGGCACAGCTTTTCAACACCACCACCCCCTCGCTCTCCGTCGTGAGATTTCTCACTCGTGACCAGAGCTTTCTGGCGTGAGCATCTACCATCAAACTCTCGGCTGTATTGCGGCAATCTAAGATGGCTACCCGTGCGGAAACGGTCAGAAATGACCTTCTCCGTCCGCCGGCCGCTCTGGTTTCCAACCTCCAGCCGAGTTGGGGGGGTGTTTTAATGATAGCAAGAAAGTTGTAAAAAAAATTCAGAGGACGACTTGGGTGGGTTTTTTTAAAAAAACGGGGTGCTTTCCAGCAAACGCCAACTTTGAATTCCCCTGGCACTTGGAAAGCGCGCCCGAAAAAAAATTGGACGGTGTGAAAATTCGGACAGTTGTCGTCTTGGCTTTTTTTTTTTTTTTTTCTGTGTGTATGTGTGAAACTTAGGTATACACAAAGAGTTTTACGATGCTTTCCCACCCTCTCTGGTGGAGCAGTTGCAATATTGCTTTCCTTTTTTGTCTCTCTCTCTCTCTCTCCCTTCTCCCCCCCACCCTTCCTCTTCTGGCTTCCGGGATTGTTATGGTGCTGTTTTGCTTTGGCATTTCACACATTTATGCAACCCTCAGAGTGCTTATATAAGAGAAATGGGATGGCTGAGAACAGCAGTCCCTAAGAGAAACACCAGGGTGGAGTGGAGAGAGAGAGAGAAATATAGCCAGCAAGCACTTCTGTTCATTTTTTTTTTTTAAACTTTTTTCATTTTAAATCTTCAAGAAAAAATTTCTTTTTTCCTGAATATTGCTTTTAAGGAAATATGCCCTGGAAGCTCAAAATGTAGAAACAGCCCTGAGCTGAGAACGAAATAAGAGCAAATAAGGGATATCAACCAATTTAAGTCGATGTTTCCGCTGTTTTACAGCTCCTTCTGATCATCTGCTGTATCGCAACCGGTCGCAAATCAATTCTACTTTGAAATGCTATGAGGAGGCATTGCAGGATACAAAAATAGCCTGTGAACTCCAGCCTTATTGGGTGAAAGTGAGTATTAATCTCCCAAATTTGCCTCGTATTGTCCTTTCTATCAATTTGACAATTCCTTAAATGAAAATGCCAGGACTTGTTAAAAGGTTGGTAGGTGGTTATAATCACCATTGGAAAACAAAACAGTGGTAATGCAGGCAGTTCTCGACTTACGACCACAATGGAGGCCAAGATTTCTGTTGTTAGGTGAGTTTTGCCCCCGTTTTACGGTTGTAAATCTTTTTTTTTTCAGTGCCATCGTAACTTTGACCGGTCACTAAACGAACTGTTGTAAGTCAAGGGCTTCTAGTGGTGGATTTAACTGCACAAATAGAGAGAGAGATGACACAGACAAATAGACAGATGTAGATAGGAGAGAGAGTGAGAGATCGTAGATGATAGATAATGTAGATAGATGTAGATAGAGATGATAGATAAATGATACTGATAGATGTAGATAGAGATGATAGATATATAGATGATAGACAGATGTAGAGAGAGAGATGATAGATGTAGATAGAGATAGATGTAGAGAAAGAGAGATGATAGACATGTAGAGAGACATGATAGATAGATGATAGACCGATGTAGATAGAGATAGATTAGATGTAGAGAAAAAGAGATGATAGACAAGATGATAGACAGATGTAGAGAGAGATGATAGATGATAGACAGATGTAGAGAGAGATGATAGATAGATGATAGACAGATGTAGATAGATATAGATGATAGATGTAGAGAAAGAGATGATAGACAGATGTAGATATAGATGATAGATGTAGAGAAAGAGAGATGATAGATATAGAGAGATGATAGATCGATGATAGATGTAGATAGAGAGATGACAAATAGATGATAGACAGATGTAGAGAGAGAGATGATAGGTGATAGACAGATGATAGATAAATGCTAGATGTAGATAGAGATGATAGACAGATGACAGAGAGAGAGAGATTCCATCTTCTGTGTTATTCCTGCCTTGCAAAGCAAAAGACCGAACATCTGCACAACTTGCTGCAGTTCTTAAGCGAATCATGCCTCTTGTTAAGTGAACCTGGCTTCCCCTGTTAACTTTGCTTGTCGGAAGCTGGCTGGGAAGTTTGCAACTGATGCTCACATGACCCCAGGATGGTGCAACAGTCATAAGTATGAGTCTGTTGCCAAGCGTCTGAATTTTGACCACGAGGGGCAGGGAAATTGCTGCAGCAGTCATAAGTGTGAAAAACTGTTGTAACTTCGAATGGTCACTAAGCGAACTGTTGTGTCACTAAGCGAACTGTTGTAAGCCAAGGACTGCCTGCCCAGCTATAAAAGCAGCCCCTTTCAATGATTCTCATCGCCCACCACGCCGGTTTTTGCGTCCGCCGTCCACGGCCACACGGTGGCGATACGCTCCTATGCTCTGTTTTTTCAGGGCCACGTGAGAAAAGGCCACGCTCTTAGTCTGCTGGGCAAGACGCAGGAAGCTTTCAGCGAGTTTTTGTTGTGCCTCGTTTTGGAGGGCGAGAACCAGACAGCAAAATCCCAGAGCCCCAAGGTAAGGAGGCTGTAACGCTTCAGCTACCCTGTTTCCCCCAATATAAGACCCAACCGGAAAATAAGTCCTAGCAGGGGTGAAATGCTACCGGTTCAGCCTGGTTCGGACGAATTGGCAGCGGGTGGTTCGGATAACCGGTAGTGACGGCAGTGCATGGCTCTGCCCACCCGTTCGGTCGTCGTTACTTCCTGGTTTTAACCAGAAAGTAACCTGTTTTTTACCTTCTGCACATGCGCAGAAGGCTTTGCGCAATGCGCAGAGGGTTCCCCTGCGCATGTGATGCATATGCGCACTTCCGAACCGGTAGGGAAGGTAGGTAGATTTCACCCCTGAGTCCTAGCATGCTTTTTCAAGATGCTCATAATATAAGCCCTACCCCAAAAAAATAAGTCCTAGTTAAGATTCTCATCCAGATGGATGCATTTTAAGTGCCGTATTTCCCCCAAAATAAGATCTAACCAGAAAATAAGCCCTAGCATGTTTTTTCAGGATGCTCGTAATATACAGTAAGCCCTACCCGAAAAATAAGCCCCAGATAAGATTGTCAGCCAGATGGATGCATTTAGTACCGTATTTCCCCCAAAATAAGACCTAACCAGAAAATAAGCCCTAGCATGATTTTTCAGGATGCTCGTAATAAAAGCCCTACCCGAAAAATAAGCCCCAGATAAGATTGTCAGCCAGATCATTTAGTACCGTATTTTCCCCAAAATAAGACCTAATCAGAAAATAAGCCCTATTGTGTCTTTTGGAGCAAAAATGAATATAAGACCTAGTCTTATTTTCGGGGAAACACGGATAACATGCAACCTAGGTTTATCTGCCCGTTTAAAAAAAAAAAAAAGAATAGGAATAATAGAAACGGGTTTATGAAATTGCACTGGACTTTGGCAGAAGAAAAAAAAATGTGATTTGGTACCCACTTTATACTTCCTGCGTTATCTGCTTTGTAAAGTTGTTGGAACCAGGAACTGGTGTATAAATGAGAAATACATCATATAAAATATGATATAAATAATGAGAACAGGCAGTCCTCAGCTTACAACAAGTTTGTTTAGTAAGCGTTCAAAACTTGAAAAAAAGCGACTCACGACCGTTTGCTCGTACTTACGACCGTTGCAGCATCCCCATGCTCGCGGGGATACAGTCCTGATAGAAGTTTGCAAAACTGGAGACTGGCAAAGTTGGAATCCATCCAGTCCTACAACTAGGGGGAAGAAATCTATAGTGATAAAAGGGGAAAGATTCATCCTTATAATTGGAGACTCCCCAACTTTTTCCCCCATGCATGATTATGAACCAAAATTCCAGTGTTACTATGCTGAGTTCAACTCCCGCCATAGAAGCCAACTGGGTGTTTTTTGGGTCAATCACCAGGACACTGTGAGTTCTAGTCCCACTTTAGGCATGAAAGCTGGCTGGAGGACTTTGGGCTAATCACCAGGAGACAGTGAGTTATAGTCCTGCCTTAGCCATGAAAGCTGGCTAGGTGACTTTGGACCAATGACCAGGTGATGGTGAGTTCTAGTCCCACTTTAGGCATGAAAACTTGCTAGGTGACTTTGGGCTAATGATCAGGAGACAGTGAGTTATAGTCCTGCCTTAGGCATGAAAGCTGGCTAGGTGACTTTGGACCAATGACCAGGTGATGGTGAGTTCTAGTCCTGCCTTAGGTACGAAAAGATGGTTCGGTGATTGTGGGCCAATCACCAGAAGATTTGTGAGTTCTAATCCCGCCTTAGGCAGGGTGACTTTGGGCCGGTCCCTTCCTCTCTCAGCCCAGTCCACCTCACAGGATTGTTGTTGTGGGGAAAACAGGAAGAAGGACTATTAAGCGTACTTACCACTTTAACAAAATAATAAAGATGGAAAATAAATCCGGGACCTCTTTCCAGGAATATAATTTCCAGGTTTTGTAAAGAGATTTCTACCGAGTCATTTTGCGATAACAGAAGGGACTTATGTTATCGCCAAGAGAGAGTTAGGAGACCTTGCGGTTTTGCCGCTCATGTGCCGGGGGTGAAGCCACAACTGTGCGCAATGCCACAACAACGCAGGGACTTGAAGAGTAGTGAATCGCCTTGGACTCATCAGATAACAAAGCTGCAGAATTCGGCTTTTGCTCTTTTCGCCCTGAGATAAAGGATAAAGCTTGGGAAAATAAAAGTTAGGCTTTCATAAAAACAAAGGAATTAGGGAACTACTTTCAGTTGCTGAGCGTAGACAGAGACCTCCTTGGGTCTGTAACTGGGAGACCCCAGACCAGGTTTAACATATCGTGCCAAACAATTGTGTGATGCCAGCTGCTTTGAGGTTACTGTTCCTTTCCACTAATTTTTTTTTTTGTAATGACAATTCTTCTCCCCTTCCTCCTCCTCTTCTTCTTCCCCTCCCCCTTTTCCTCCCCTTTCTCCCTTCCCCTTCCTCCTCCTCCTCTTCTCCTTCTCCTCCTCCTCTCCTCCTCCTTCTCTTCTTCTTCTTCCCCTTCCCCTCTCCCTTTTCCTCCCCTTTCCCCTTCTCCCTCCTTCCCCTTCCTCCCCCTCCTCTTCTCCTCCTCCTCTTCTTCTTCCCCTTCCCCTTTTCCTCCCTTTCCCCCTCTCCCTTCCTCCCCTTCCCCTTCCCCTTCCTCCTCTTCCTCTCCTCCTCTTCTCCTCCTCCTCCTCCTCCTCTCCTCCTCCTCTTCTTCTTCCCCTTCCCCTTTTCCTCCCCTTTCCCCCTCTCCCTTCCTCCCCTTCCCCTTCCTCCTCTTCCTCTCCTCCTTCTCCTCCTCCTCTCCTCCTCCTCCTCCTCTTCTTCGTCTTCCCCTTCCCCTCTCCCTTTTCCTCCCCTTTCCCCCTTCTCCCTCCTTCCACTTCCTCCTTCTCCTCCTCCTCTTCCTCTTCTTCCCCTTCCCCTTCCTCCTCCTTCTCTTCTCCTCCTCCTCTTCTTCTTCCCCTTTTCCTCCCCCTTCTCCCTCCCTCTTCCTCCCCTTCCCCTTCCTCCTCCTCCTCTTCTCCTCCTCCTCCTCCCTCCTCCTCCTCCTGCCATATCCATTATCGGACATTGGCAATCCTGTTGGCGTTCCTATTTTTATCAACAGCCGCATGAAAAAGTGCTGCTGAGTTTTGTCCAAACCGGTCCCTTAGATTTTGAAGCCATGATATTCTTCTTCTGCCTGGACCTCGTTTGCCTTCAGTCTTTCCCTGGAGGATTAAGTGAAGGATGCCGTATTTTTCCAGGTGTCGCATCCCATGTCCGAAATATTCTAACTTTTTTGCTTTTTTATGGTTTTGATGATTTCCCTCTGCTTTCCCAAGAGGCTTATCCCCTCCTCCTTTCTGATTTTGTCAACCCAGCTCCTACGTAACAGCCGCCTGTAAATTCCACATTTCAAAGGCTTCTGGTCTCTCCAAGTGGCTTTCGGTCAGAGACCCAACTCTCCACTCCGTAGAGCAGGATGGAAAAGACGTAACATCTGACAAGCATCTGATTTTTCAATCTCAGGCTTATGTCGTGACTGCAGAAAAGACCTTTTCCATTTTGAAGAAGGCTGTTCGAGCTTTCTCTATCCTTTTTCGTGGACTGGCCCAAAAAAATCCCCCACCACCATTTTAGGAAGTCTCTTTTCAGAGGTCAGCATTTTCCAGGATGTATATTACCAAGAAGCTTGGAATTTTGTATTTTATAAAAGCCGGAGACAACCAACCTATGATTTTCATACCTTTGTAATTGTCTATTACCTCTGTTTGACAGGCAGTGGTGCGTTGGGATGCCAAAACATACAATTGTGCTCGGTGCCAGTGGATTAAATTTGGGGCTGGTTTGGCGTATCTGTTGGCTAAGAAAACATTCGGTTTGGAGGCCCCGCTCTGACCTTGTGAACATCTCCTGGCATTGAGTCACAATTGTGGCTTGGCTTAACCTACATCGCAGATGCTCTGAGATCAAAACCGGCTGACCCCCACAAACACTTGACCTACATGTGGAAATATTAGATATTTTAAGAGAGTCAACATGTAATCAGATTGTGGTGCGGTGGCCTAGAGGTGGAGCTCTCACCTCACAATCAGGAGGCCGTGAGTTCAATCCTAGGTAGAGGCGGATATTTCTCTCTCTGGGCACCATGAGAATGGATCTGCTGAACAAAACTCTGCATCGGCGACAGGGAAGGGCATCCGGCCAGCCAACACTTAGCTCCATTCAGTTGCCCAGACTCCACCCCGCAAAGGATTATGGGGTCATTAAAAGATGATGATGAACATGTTAATCAGATAATCCTCAATTTACGACCGCTCGCTTAGTGACCATTCTAAATGACACCGGACCCCCGTAAAGGGATTTGCAACCTGATTTTGAAGTTCCAACGTGGGGGCATCCCCATCCAATGTGGTCACATGACTGCATTTTATTTTATTTTATTTCGAATTTATATACCGCACCTTCTCTCGAGGGACTCAGGGCGGTGTACAGCTAGCTAAAAACATACAATACAAACATTAAAAACAATTAAAAGGATATATTAATTTGGCCCCAATTTAAAATGACAAACCAGTTAAAAATATTTTTAAAAAATGTTATGTTAAGCCAGCCCGACTTGCTGGAAAAAGAAAGTTTTAAGGGCACAGCGGAAGGCACTGAGGTCTTGAATTCTCCTTATCTCTTATTTGGGTGCTTGGCAATCAGCCAGCATTTATGGTGGCTTTGCCAGAAACCAGTGTTTATTTCTGATTTCCGGCAAAAACGGCCCATAGTGACTTATGAGTCCATTTAATGACTATGGCATTTGCTTAATGACCGCTATGGGAATGGTCTGGGTGTGTGTGTTGTTGTTGTTTTTTTATGAAAACGAGTCCGTTTGTCCAACGCTGAAAAGGAGCAGCTGGTTTGCGATTCGGTAAACTCATAAACTCCGGTGGGTAATGTTATGTAGGGACATAATAATAGGAGAATAGGTAGAATTACTGGGACATAATAATAACTTGCTGTTTTGCTTCTGTAAGAATAACTTTGCTAAGAATTGGAATTGCTTCTGCCATTCGCTTCTACCAGTAATCTAACTTCTGTTACCTGTTATCTTGTTTTTCTGTCCAACTCCATGCCTGGTGGGTATCTCAAGAAGGGGGGTTTGCTAAGCACCCAATCCCTCTGTTGCTAAGCACTTGACCCCCCCTATTCCTTGCTGCACTGCCAAAGGAAGGCATGGACCAGGGGGCCAGAATTGGGTACTAAGGAAGGTATAAAAGGACACCATACCTTCCCGTATTCCTTACATGCATCGTATCTGTATGATCCGGATATAGTTTTCACCCAGTATTTTGTTTTGGCCAAAAAATAAAATCTGCTTCTTTTTGCAAGCCTCATCTCGAGTCTCACTCTCTTCGGCATCTCAGTGGCTCAGGGAAACTTCTGGGACCTTACAGTTAGTCAGGTGGGACATCTGGCCGTCGTGGTCTCTCCTGGTGGCACCTGGAGGACAAACTGACGGCCCCCAGGGGGAGAGCCTTCTCTGTGGGGGCACCTGCCATCTGGAACGAGCTCCCCCCCCCCGGAGATACGGAGGATCCAAGACTTACGCACCTTCCGCCACGTCCTAAAAACGTTTTTATTCCAACAGGCTGGTCTGGCCTAACTCCCCCTTTTAAATTGGGTTTTAAATGTTTTATATAAATTGGATGTTTTAAATTTGTTTCTTGAGCCCAAATTATTTAATCTGTTTTTAATAGCTTTTAACTTTTGTATGTTTTTTGTATTTTTATCTTGGCTGTTCACCGCCCTGAGTCCTCCGGGAGTAGGGCGGTATACAAATACGATAAAATAATATAATAAACGTTGCCCAGAGAAAAGTCTCAAAACAGATCCCGGACGATCCCTTCTCTTCTGTGCAGGTTGACATGGACCAGGAAAACTGTGAAGACCAGAACGTGATCAACTGTGACAACTCAGGAAGACCCCTCCCTAACCAAGAAGGAAACCTGGATGAAAATGTTGATATCTCCTCACCCGTGGAGACTGTCGCTGAGAAAGAGACACCCCAAAACAATAAACGCCAGGCTGAAGTGGCTGCGGGTTCGGATCTGCCCCCCAAAATAGCCAAAATGGGTAAGTTGTGTTAACGAAAGCAATCTCACTCGGCAAGGGTCAGATCACCAGGGTGTATGTAAACCAGACCAGGAAATCTATGGAGATTCTCCATCATTCAGATCCATGGGTGCTTTTCCAAAAGTTAACTGGACTTTTGGGGGGAGTTTTTCCCCCCCTTGAAAACGTTTCGCTTCTTGCCTAAGAAGCTTCTTCGGTTCACTAAAGTTTAATGAATTTAATGTGCAATTGACAAGTATACCTCTGTTGCCCTGAAGCACCAAATGCATGTTAGAATGGTTGCATGTTAGTGTTTGCAGTTTAGACATTTCGGGGAAAATGAAGTTTGCATATTTTTTTTCCTAATGATCATACTGGTCTCTTTTTCCCTTCTTTTTCCTGTCTCCCTCCCTCCCTCCCTCCCTCTTTCTCTCTCTCTCCTCTCCCCTCTCTCCTCCTCTCTTTCTTCTCTTTTCTTTCTCTTCTCTTTTTTCTCCTCTCTTTCTGTCTTCTCCTCTCTCCTCACTCTTTCTCTCTTCTCCCTTCTCTCTTTTCTCTCTCTCTCCTCTCTTTTCTCCTCTCTTTCTTCTCTTTCACTCTCTCTCTTTTCTTTCTCCTCTCTCTCTTTTCCTGTCTTTTCTTCTCTCTCCTCCTCTCTCTCCTCACTCTTTCTCTCTTCTCCCTTCTCTTTCTCCTCTCTTTTTTCTCTCTCTCCTCTCTCTTTTCTCCTCTCTTTCTCTCTTCTCCTCTCTTTCTCTCCTCTCCTCTCCCCCCCCCTCTCCTCTCTCTTTCTCTTCTCCTCTTTCTCCCTTCTCTCTCTCTCTCCTCTCTCTCCTCTTTTTCTCTCTACTCTTCTCCTCTCCCCTCTCTTCTGTCTTTCTCTGGTAGATGAAAGCAATGAGGAAGAAGACCCCAATGCTGAAAATTGCCTCGCCTTTGATTGTGTGGATCCATCTGACATGGAGTGTTCTCTCTGCATGAGGTATCTGATGCGTTTTTTTCCATGATCAGGCCATTCGAAAGCATTAGTCCGGTTCTTAAGAGATACCACATTCGAAGAGTTGCGGTTGCATCGTCTTGGGGGGGGGGGTTGCAATGAATAACAGAAGACCAGAGATGAAAGGGACTTTAGAGGTCTTCTAGTCCAGCCCCTGAGCAAATCAGCTGTTTTGATTTGAGAGTTTGGTCTAGGCCCGAGGGAGAGGGGAAACCTGGAAAACGAGGAGAATGGATTTAACTGATCCTGGAGGAAGACCAGGCTACCTTGGCCAAGCTCATCTAACACATTGCTTGTTGGCCTGAGCTCAGATGATGTTGTGGCTTTCGTGTCTTCACACGTTTGAATTTCTTTATAAGATTGTAAATCAACCATTGATAAAATACTTTGGAAGGAAGCACTTTCTTCATTTGGAAATGAAGAGAGGCTAAAGAATAAATAGAAAATACATTGAGATGGAGATATAAACAAGGTGAAAATTGTTAATACATGTACGATGAGAATAATGATGTTTAACGTTATTAGCAGACGATATTAAGAAGAAAATGGGGAATTTTATAGTGTTTAATTGTTTTAATATCCTATAACATTCAGTTTAGAGAAATGATGTGAAGAATGAATGATGTTGCAAATGGTGAAAGAAGTTGCACGGAGATGCTTGTAGCCAGACGGCACACGGATTAAAGGAAAGATGGAACGTTTTATCTTTGTGATTGAAAAATAAAAAACTTTTTATAAAAAATAATAATAATAATAAAAAGATTGTAAGTCAAAAATCTGGACCACGGAAGCTGTTGTAGGATTTCTTCTGACTTCTTCCTCTGAGATTTCCCTCTCTCTCTCTCTCTCCCCCACCCCCCACCCCCCAGGCTCTTCTATGAACCTGTCACCACCCCGTGCGGACACACCTTTTGCCTAAGATGCCTTGAACGATGCCTGGATCACAACCCAGAGTGCCCCTTGTGCAAAGAAGACCTCTTAGAGGTAAATTAACATGGTTAAACTAATAGCAGTGCCTTGAGGCAGAGGGGGGCTTCAAAAATTTTAGCAAGGGGTTCTCTGCCCAGTTGCTGGTTGGGTGTGGCCATGGTGGGTATGGCCTATGGCGTTTTTGCCCTCCCCGGACTCCAGAGGCTTTTCTCAAGTCTCCAGGAGGGCGAAAACGGCCTCCCCAGGCTTTGGAGGCCCTCTGGTGGCCAGAAATAGGCCCAAACTTCCAGTAGGCCTGTTTTTCGCCCTCCCCAAACCTCCACATGCCCTGCACCTACCTGCATCCAAAATGGGCCGCGTGGGGACTCCTGGGAGGGGTGGGGGTGGGTGGGTGGGGCCAGCCAGGAGTGTGATTTGGGGGTTCACCACTGTGGCAAAAAATTGTAATGTCGGGTATGACTCATTTAGGGGTGGGCTTCAAAAATTTTAGCAAGGGGCTCTCGGCCCGGTTGCTGGGTGGGTGAGGTCATGGTGGGTGTGGCCTAGTCAAACTTCTACACCACGGTGGGGGGCATTTTTGCCCTCCCCGGGCTCCGGAGGCTTTTCTTGAGCCTCCAGGGGGGGGGAAAACGGCCTCCCCAGGCTCCGGAGGCCCTCTGGAGGCTGGAAATGGGCCCATTTCCAGCCTTCCTGAACTTCCGGTAGGCCCATTTTTCGCCTTCCCCGAGCCCCCGCACGCACCCTTAACTTACCTGCATCAAAAATAGGCTGCGTGGGGACTCCTGGGAGGGGCGAGGTGGGGTGGGGTGGGCGGGGCCAGCCAGGTGGGATTTGGGGGTTCTCCGAACTGCACAGAATCTTAGCTAGAAGTTCTCCCAAACCCCTGCAAACCCACAGCAGCCCACCCCTGCCTTTAGGGTTTATAAGCATTAGCCCGTCCAAGCGAAGAAGACCCTGAAAGGGCCTTCTCCGTGGTGGCTCCTGCTTTATCATTCCTCTTGAGGTACAGTTGACCCCGCATTGTTTTTCTGAAAAGTCTCTTTTCCTCAATCCAGTGCCTGGCCATGAAGAAACTTTGCAAGACGGTGTTGATGGAGGAACTGATCGCCAAGTACCTTCCGGAGGAACTCGCCGAAAGAAAAAAACTTTACGAAGAAGAGATGGCTGAATTTTCCAAGTAGGTCACCCCAGTTTTTCCATGTCCTGCAATTATGAGAAGAAGGGGGAAAAAAATTATTTTTTATTATTCATATTAATGTGAAACCAAGATTGAATGATGGTTTCTGTCAACTGGGTTTTATTGCTGGGTCACTCTGACTAACCAGTTTCTTTAGTCGGCTCCATAGATTTTCAATTGGGTTAAGGTCTGGGGCAGGGGTCTGCAACCTTAAACACTCAAAGAGCCATCTGGACCCGTTTCCCACAGAAAAAAAAATCACCGGGAGCCACAAAATCTGACTGGGGTGGTCAACTCCACATCCACATCAATCATCCCATCTAGTCACACCACCCCCAGCCTCGCCTACTCATTAGGGCAGAGAAACCGGTTGTTAAAACACTGGGAACCACAAAACCCTTTTTCTCTCTTCCTCCCTCCCTCTCTCTCTCTCTCTCTCCCCTCCCTATCTCTCTCTCTCCCCCCTTTCCTTTCTCCCCCTCCTCGCCCTCTGATATCTCTTCTCATATCTATGTCTTTTCTCCCTCTCCCTCCCTTCCCTCCCCTCTCCCCTCTCTCCCCCCTCTCCCCCTTTTCCTTTCCTCCCCCTCCTCACTCTCCTATCTCTCTCTCCCTCTCTCCCTTATATCTAATCTCTCTCCCCCATCCCTCTCTTCCTCCCCTCCTCTCTCTCTCTCCTCCCTCTCTCTTCCTCCCCCTCTCCTCCCTCTCCCCCCCTCCCCCCCCCCTGTAATATCTCCTCCCTGTATCCCCCCTCTCTCTCTCCCCATCTCCCTCTCTCTCCTCTCCTCTGTATCTCTCTCCCTCCCCCCTTCCTTTCTCTCTCTCTCTCCTCTCGCTCTCTGTATATCTCTCTCCCTCTATCTATGTCTATCTCTCTCCTCCTCCTCTCCCTCCCTCCCTCTCTCCTCTCCTCCTCTCTCTCTCTTTCTCTCTCCTCTTTCCTTCTTCCCCCCTCTCTCTCTCTCTGTATATCTCTCCTCATATGTTTCTCCCCATCCCCTCTCTCTCCCCCCCTCTGTATCTCTCTCTTCCCCCTTTTCCTTTCTTCCCCCTCTCTCGCCCTCTGTATATCTCTCTCCCTGTATCTATGTCTCTTTCTCCCCATTCCCCTCTCCCCTCCTCTCTGTATCTCTCTCTCCCCCTTTTCCTTTCTTCCCCCTCTCTCGCCCTCTGTATATCTCTCTCCCTGTATCTATGTCTCTTTCTCCCCATCTCCCTCTCTCCCCTCCTCTCTCTATCTCTCTCTCTCCCCCTTTTCCTTTCTTCCCCCTCTCTCGCCCTCTGTATATCTCTCTCCCTGTATCTATGTCTCTTTCTCCCCATCCCCTCTCTCTCCCCTCCTCTCTGTATCTCTCTCTCCCCCTTTTCCTTTCTTCCCCCTCTCTCGCCCTCTGTATCTCTCTCTCCCTGTATCTATGTCTCTTTCTCCCCATCTCCCTCTCTCCCCTCCTCTCTGTATCTCTCTCTCCCCCTTTTCCTTTCTTCCCCCTCTCTCGCCCTCTGTATATCTCTCTCCCTGTATCTATGTCTCTTTCTCCCCATCTCCCTCTCTCCCCTCCTCTCTGTATCTCTCTCTCTCCCCCTTTTCCTTTCTTCCCCCTCTCTCGCCCTCTGTATATCTCTCTCCCTGTATCTATGTCTCTTTCTCCCCATCTCCCTCTCTCTCCTCCTCTCTGTATCTCTCTCTCTCCCCCTTTTCCTTTCTTCCCCCTCTCTCGCCCTCTGTATATCTCTCTCCCTGTATCTATGTCTCTTTCTCCCCATCTCCCTCTCTCCCCTCCTCTCTGTATCTCTCTCTCCCCCTTTTCCTTTCTTCCCCCTCTCTCGCCCTCTGTATATCTCTCTCCCTGTATCTATGTCTCTTTCTCCCCATCTCCCTCTCTCCCCTCCTCTCTGTATCTCTCTCTCTCCCCCTTTTCCTTTCTTCCCCCTCTCTCGCCCTCTGTATATCTCTCTCCCTGTATCTATGTCTCTTTCTCCCCATCTCCCTCTCTCCCCTCCTCTCTGTATCTCTCTCTCCCCCTTTTCCTTTCTTCCCCCTCTCTCGCCCTCTGTATATCTCTCTCCCTGTATCTATGTCTCTTTCTCCCCATCTCCCTCTCTCCCCTCCTCTCTGTATCTCTCTCTCCCCCTTTTCCTTTCTTCCCCCTCTCTCGCCCTCTGTATATCTCTCTCCCTGTATCTATGTCTCTTTCTCCCCATCACCCTCTCTCTCCTCCTCTCTGTATCTCTCTCTCTCCCCCTTTTCCTTTCTTCCCCCTCTCTCGCCCTCTGTATATCTCTCTCCCTGTATCTATGTCTCTTTCTCCCCATCTCCCTCTCTCCCCTCCTCTCTGTATCTCTCTCTCCCCCTTTTCCTTTCTTCCCCCTCTCTCGCCCTCTGTATCTCTCTCTCCCTGTATCTATGTCTCTTTCTCCCCATCTCCCTCTCTCCCCTCCTCTCTGTATCTCTCTCTCCCCTTTTCCTTTCTTCCCCCTCTCTCGCCCTCTGTATATCTCTCTCCCTGTATCTATGTCTCTTTCTCCCCATCTCCCTCTCTCCCCTCCTCTCTGTATCTCTCTCTCTCCCCCTTTTCCTTTCTTCCCCCTCTCTCGCCCTCTGTATATCTCTCTCCCTGTATCTATGTCTCTTTTCCCCATCTCCCTCTCTCTCCTCCTCTCTGTATCTCTCTCTCTCCCCTTTTCCTTTCTTCCCCCTCTCTCGCCCTCTGTATATCTCTCTCCCTGTATCTATGTCTCTTTCTCCCCATCTCCCTCTCTCCCCTCCTCTCTGTATCTCTCTCTCCCCTTTTCCTTTCTTCCCCTCTCTCGCCCTCTGTATATCTCTCTCCCTGTATCTATGTCTCTTTCTCCCCATCTCCCTCTCTCTCCTCCTCTCTGTATCTCTCTCTCTCCCCCTTTTCCTTTCTTCCCCCTCTCTCGCCCTCTGTATATCTCTCTCCCTGTATCTATGTCTCTTTCTCCCCATCTCCCTCCCTCCCCTCCTCTCTGTATCTCTCTCTCTCTCTCCCCCTTTTCCTTTCTTCCCCCTCTCTCGCCCTCTGTATATCTCTCTCCCTGTATCTATGTCTCTTTCTCCCATCTCCCTCTCTCCCCTCCTCTCTGTATCTCTCTCTCTCCCCCTTTTCCTTTCTTCCCCCTCTCTCGCCCTCTGTATATCTCTCTCCCTGTATCTATGTCTCTTTCTCCCCATCTCCCTCCCTCCCCTCCTCTCTGTATCTCTCTCTCCCCCTTTTCCTTTCTTCCCCCTCTCTCGCCCTCTGTATATCTCTCTCCCTGTATCTATGTCTCTTTCTCCCCATCTCCCTCTCTCCCCTCCTCTCTCTCTCTCTCCCCCTTTTCCTTTCTTCCCCCTCTCTCGCCCCCCCCCCCGTATATCTTTCTCTCTGTATCTATGTCTCTTTCTCCCCATCTCCCTCTCTCCCCCCCCCTCTCTGTATCTCTCAGATTTCCAAGGCCAGTCGAGGAGTGACACCTGGTCTCTGGGCTATTCCCAGGCCATTCCAGCAGTGGAATATGATTATCTTCAAACTCCAAAAAAAAAGTGGTGTTATTAGCCATCAAACCTCAAAAATACACTTTTCCCAAAAGGTTTCCACAATTTTGGCCACTACTGTACTTAGGGAAGAGTTTGACAAAGCTGCGAATGCACAAATATTTCATCCTTTATGAGTTATCTTTCTCTTCTGTCGTTTTTTTTAAAAAAATAAGCAAGCACACGTGGTCCTTGTTTAATACAAAATTTCTCACCGCAGCTTGAATAAGAACGTCCCCATATTTGTCTGCACGATGGCCTATCCCACCGTTCCTTGCCCTCTGCATATCTTTGAGCCCTGCTACCGACTGATGGTCCGTAGATGTATGGAGACAGGAACTAGGCAGTTTGGCATGTGCATTAGAGATCCCGTCAAAGGGTAAGTAGCGTATGATGAACATCAGAACAGACGTCACACACAGCTGAGGTTGGACTAGATCTCACAGTCTCCTGGTGATTGGCCCAAAGTCATCCAGCTGAAGTAGGACTAGAATTCAGGGTCTCCTGGTGATTGGCCCAAAGTCATCCAGCTGAGGTGGGACTAGAATTCAAGGTCTCCTGGTGATTGGCCCAAAGTCATCCAGCTGAGGTGGGACTAGAATTCAAGGTCTCCTGGTGATTGGCCCAAAGTCATCCAGCTGAGATGGGACTAGAATTCACAGTCTCCTAGTGATTGGCCCAAAGTCATCCAGCTGAGGTGGGACTAGAATTCACAGTCTCCTAGTGATTGGCCCAAAGTCATCCAGGTGAGGTGGGATTAGAATTCAAGGTCTCCTGGTGATTGGCCCAAAGTCATCCAGCTGAGGTGGAACTAGATCTCACAGTCTCCTGGTGATTGGCCCAAAGTTATCCAGCTGAGGTGGGACTAGATCTCACAGTCCTGGTGATTGGCCCAAAGTCATCCAGCTGAGGTGGGACTAGAATTCAAGGTCTCCTGGTGATTGGCCCAAAGTCAGCCAGCTGAGATGGGACTAGAATTCAAGGTCTCCTGGTGATTGGCCCAAAGTCATCCAGCTGAGATGGGACTAGAATTCAAGGTCTCCTGGTGATTGGCCCAAAGTCATCCAGCTGAGGTGGGACTAGAATTCACAGTCTCCTAGTGATTGGCCCAAAGTCATCCAGCTGAGGTGGGACTAGAATTCAAGGTCTCCTGGTGATTGGCCCAAAGTCATCCAGCCGCCTTTCATGCATAGGGCAGAACTAGAACTCACCTTCTCCTGGTTTCTCCAGGTAGAGATTTAATTATTTAATCTGTCCTCCTCCTCATGGCAAACTCCACTCCCTTCTAGCACTGATGATGTTACTTTATTTGGTCATGAAATGTCTACAAGAAAACAAGCTCAGAGAGCACTATGGATCCCACAGTTCTCCTCCTCCTCCTCCTCCTCCCCTCATAGGGTCACCCATCTCATACCCACAGATTATTGAAGAGAGCTCACACCTAATTTAGCCAGTTGTGGCTTTTGTTTAGACAGCACTTGAATCCCGAGGCAGCGAGATGCGTGGGCTTCGCAGGAGCTTACCCAGATCCCGGATTCAACCCCTCTCCTCTTTGCTTCCGCCCTTCTGGCAAACAGGTTCGCCGATTACGGTTGCATCCTAGAGATAAGGAACGTTGAAGTCTTCACCGATGGGCGCTCCGTGGTGGATAGCATCGGCAAGAGGCGGTTTAAGGTCCTACGGCACAGCAAGTGTGACGGCTACAACACGGCGGATATCGAATACATTGAAGACAAGAAGGTGGGTCATGGCTGCGAAGGTGGAAGGGACGAGGTCATCTCACTTAACATAGCTGTAAGAGGCACAAAAATGTACACACACAACACACACACACACTCCAAAGGCTTTCCTAGAGTTTTTGTCAATCCAGGAAGTCCTCGATTTAGGGCCACCATTGAGGCCAACATTTCCATTGTCCAGTGAGACATTTGTCCGGCGACTCTTGTCCCCATTTTACGACTTTTCTTGCCGCACCTCTGAAGCGAATCCCCTGCAGTTGGTGAGTTAGTAACCCGGCTTTATAAGTGAATCTGGCTCTCCCCCGCCCGCCCCCCCCCCCCCCCCCCATCGACTTTGCCGGTCAGAAGATCGCCAAAGGGGAGATCATGTGACACACAGCAACGGTCCCCTAAATGCAAACCAGTTGCCCAACCGTCTGTCTGACCCCGCCCCCGGGACACTGCAGCCGTCATAAGTATGAGTCGGTTTGCCAACCGTCTGAATTTTGATCCCATGACCACAGGGACACTGCAAAGGTAACTGTGGAAAAACAATTCTAAGTCCCCTTTTTTTCAGTGCCGCGTTGTAACTTTGAACCGTCACTAAGCGAATGGTTGTAAATCAAGGACTACTTGTTTTTTTAAAAAATTATTATTATTTTATTATTATTATTATTCATATTTCTATGCCGTCCACTCTCCGAGGACTCTGGGCGGCTTACACCAAAGACAGTATACTAAATAGCATATTGCCCCCCAACGATCCGGGTCCTCATTTTACCCACCTCGGAAGGATGGAAGGCTGAGTCAACCTTGAGCCAGTGAGATTTGATTCGCTGATCTGCTGAACTAGCAGTCAGCTGAAGTAGCTGCAGTACTGCACTCTAACCACTGCGCCACCTCAGCTCTTCATTTATTTTGGGGGGAGGGAGTAATAACCTGTTGTGGTCCGCCAGCAGCCTGCGGAGCTGGCAGCGGACAGCGATGAGGCTGAGGAAGAATAGGGGCCAGTCCTGGAGGCTGGGGAAGGCCCGGACGAGGGCTCTGCGTCGGAGGCAGAGATGGGGCCAGGGCCATCGGGGAGTGATGTGCGGATTTTGGGGCCTCCAGAAGCTGGCAGTAGAAAGGCAGAGGAACAGGAGGAGCCTGTTCCTAGTGCACGTATGAGAAGAGCTGCCACAAGGCAGGAGCAGATAAAGCAGAGAGGACGACTCGGGAGTAAGGCCAGGAGATGATTGGCCCCACCCATAAAGCTTAAGACCAGCAATGGCTCTTGAGCTCTTTGCCAAAAAACAACCATTGAGAGAATTGCTTTCTTGTTTCACTGTATTCATTTCTTGTCGGCGTCTTCCTGCTTCTGAACTTTTGCCAAGAAAAGCCTTTGGCAGTTTGCCTAATTATCCCAAGGTCGGTGATAAACTGTGGAATGGTGTTTTGAAGAATTTGCTTTAATTTAGTTTGGACTACGCTGAGAATGAGTTAATTCTCAGCTGTTCTAATAAAGTCTGTTTGTTTTCAAACTGTTTGTATTTAATACTACCTACTTGGGCCTGGGTCACAACATAACCCTGGGAGGTAGGGCAGCCGAGTCCTGGCCAACCATCATTTTCCTGTTGTTGTTGTTGTTGCTGCTGTTATCATAAACATGTCTGAAAAAAAATCTTTTCCCCTGTATCTCCAGGTTCAGCTAAACCCTTGTTCTGTTTTGGGTCCGTTTTAGGTGCACGGAGATGCCTCTGAATACTTGACAATCCTCCATAGTGCCGTGTATGATCAGGCCCGCACCTGGTTCAACACTCTGAAATCTTCACTCAGAGTACGCATCATCCATCACTTCGGTCCAATGCCTGCTAAGGAACCAGACCCACAGGTACGACGAGCAAGCAAGCACAAAAAGGCATGACCCTTATTAACTCGATGTTCTGTCCCCCTTCCTCACACAGGCAAGCATAATACCAAGCACGCCTGCCAATATTTTATTAGGTAAACAGATTAGAATTCCTGGCAGACCAAGGTTTTGGCAGAAAACTGCCGAATGCCTGCCAAGACAGGTTTCACTCCCATAAAGCAGAAGAGGACTTATCTTCAGTCTGTTCCAGGAGCAACAAATTATCCACGTGACAAAAGTTTAGTCAATGTTCAGTCCAAAATATATCCAAGCCGAATTTCAGAGATCACGATGTGACTTTCACGGTTTAACTTTGTCCGTCACAGTGCCTGAAGTGCAATCCCACCCACTTTTATTCCTGGTGGGGTGTGGCTCCATGACTCATCTCAATCTCTGGCCCTCCCACGCCTCTTCCATTGCTGCGCACGCTTCTCCCTCCGACACTGCCTGGGATCAAGCCAGGATTCATCCTCCTCGCTCCCTATCAATTGATGCTCCGATATGCCTTCCTCCTGGCACATCCCAGGCTGTTCCTCCTGGCCTTTGGATGGAACCTGAGGCATTGCCAGAAAGGAGGGTCCTGGAGAGGGAGGCCTTGTCAGTTGCTCCCCATCACCTTCTGAGTCCTCCTCCTCTGTTAGGACAGGCTCGGGAGTCGGGGTCACAACACTCTGCTAGCCTCCTATCCTAAACTGAGAAGTGTTCTGGCCCAGCTCCCCAAACATGACAAACCCTCTGAAGTTAACTCAAAGATTCCTTTATTAGGAGCGCTGGCAGCTCCAGCAAAAAGTTTCTCTCTCACCGCAGGTTAACAAGTCTGTCCAGCAGGGAGATGAATAGTTGTCTGCCACACCTGTTCATCTCTGTCTCCTGCCTTTTATCCCCATAGCAAGGGTGGGGCTTCGCTAGCAGTGATGGCTCTTCCATCCCAAGGACCGGCCCATAGATTTCCACTGCTCTCCTCTCCTCTCCCTTCTGCGCATCCGCACATCAGGCTCTGGGCCCAGCTGTTCCTCCTCTTCCTCATCAGTCACCTCCAGACTTGGGGGCTGTTGACTCTCCATCTGAGGGTTGACGGACGGCCCAGGCTCCGCCTCTGTCTGTCTCTCTGCCAGCTCCATTCCCTCTTCCTCCTTGGAGCTCTCAGGTTGCCTTACTGCTGACCCTGACTCCCACACCGCCTCCTCCTCTGATTCAGCTGCTGGAGGAGCTGGCAACAAGAAGCTTTGCAAAGCCAACCTCATCCTAGCCAGGATGTCCTCTGTGCCGGGCACAGTATTAAAAATCGTAGTGGGCAACCAACAATCACAACTGAACTTCCATTGCTAAACAAAACGGTGGTTAAGTGCCCAATTTTGTGGCCCTTTTTCCCCCCCGTGATTGTTAAGCAAATCACTGCAGTTGTTAAATGAATCACACAGTCGTTAAGAGAATCCAGCTTCCCCCATTGACTCTGCTTGTCAGAACATCATGAATTGGGTGATCACGCGACTTCAGGACAACGCAACCATTATAGATAAAACACTGGTTGCAAATTGCCTTTATTTCAATCGCTTGACCATGGGGAATGCTGCAATGTTTGTAAATGTGAGGATCAGTCATAAATCACTATTTTCCGTGCCGTCGTAACTTTGAGTGGTGGCTAAGCAAATGGTTGTAAATCAAGGACCACCGGTAGCCAGTTAGGCATACCACAAGGCTGGGTAATCGGGAGATTCAGGCAGTTCAAAGATGTATCAAGATGTATCACAAGCTTAAGCTCTCTACAAGAATCTGGCCAACTAACAGGCAAGGGAAATGAGCGGGGGATAAGGAAGGAATTCAAGGTAGATCTCTTGCGGGCATGCAGAGACTCGTGACTGATGACACATTTTACCCCTCCTTCCAGCTCAGGCCAGTCATCTCCTACAGGTTTGATGCAGGTGTGCCTTTTTCATGACAGGTGAACCCCGATGGTCCTGCTTGGTGCTGGTGGATCTTGGCCGTCCTTCCTCTGGAGAACAAAGCTCAGCTTCCCTTCCTAGCGATGACTTCCTTGAAAGCCCGCCTATACGGCATCCGGAGCATTCTGACCTTCCTCTTCCTCACTCAGACAAAGTGAACAGGGTGTGAATGCCCTTGCAATCCGAGGCCTTCTCTCTCACATGCTCCTTCCAACTTGATGGTGCCCGAAGGCTGCAAACAAACTTTACTACAGAGGGCCTTAAATTCTCAGGACTCAGGACGTTCTTCCCCACCTCTTGAATGGAAAAAGAAAAAAAGCTCCTCTCTTAAGCCGCAATAATCTTCCAGCTGGTCCCACTTTGGTCTGCAAAGCAGAAACAATGCTAAATGTCCAACAGGAGACATCAGTAGGGCATGCCCAAGCATGGTTGACTTGGAAGTCCCAGGGAGCGCTATGAGTCTCCTCTTTCTGCCAAATTCTTTCATATATATATATATATTATATTATATATATTTGAATTTCCTTTTTCAGCAGCTGCCTTTCAAGCGAAGTTCCTACGTTATTCACGGAGGCGCCTGTCTATATATCGTCATAGAATTCGACAAAGCAGACACGAGTTTATATTTTCTCATGGCGTCCTTTCAGTCGGACGGGTTATTATTTAATTTAATCTTTTATTTTGGAACCGTTTCATTAAAACCAATCCAGTTAATGTGAAGCTTAAAAATAATTCACAAATCAGGAAGAACCGAGTTATAGCCCCCTTTGCCGGCGAAGATACCTTTACTTAAAAAGGCCCCAAGTTTTGTCAAAAGCGGATGAATTTTTTCATTTAAAAAATTTGCCGGTCAAAATAGAGGCCACCGGATTCCTCCTGATTTTTTTTCTTTTTCTTTTTTTTTTGGCTACCATAGACTAACCTGACTTGTCTTCTACAAGGTCTGAATTATTTAACAATTGTTTTCCTAAGGATTCAGGAATAACTGTGTTAATTTTGGTTGCAGATGTCTCTGCTTGAATTTTGGTTTTGCACAGGGTTTTTTTTTCCCCCCCAGTTGTAAGTGCGAGAACCTCTGTGTGTTTACTCCAAAGTAAATCCCATTGCATTGAATGATGATTCCTGAGTGCTTTTAAGACTTGTGAGCTCTGTGTGTGTGTACACAACCTATACCGTGTTTCCCCGAAAATAAGACCCTGTCTTATATTTTTTTGAGCCCCGAAATAAGCGCTTGACCTTATTTTCGGGGATGTCTTATTATTTTGGGGCGCATGGAGCAAGATGGGGCTCCTCTTGCCGTCTTACCTGATTTCCAGCTCTGTCTCCCTAACCCTAACCAGAGGTAATGGCGGGGACTGGCTGTGCCTGCATTTAAATATTTTCGGGATGGGTTTATTTTCGGGGAGGGTTTATTTTCAGGTGAGGTCTTATTTTAGCACATACGCTCAAAAGCCCAATTGGGCTTATTATCAGGGGAAGCAGGATAGTTGTGGTTGCAGTCAACTTTAGTAACAGTTCAAAGATAGACTGCACCCCCAAAAACTACTTATGACCTGGTTTTGAAGTTACGACCACTGCAATACCCACTCTACCCCACCCCACCCGGGCAGGGGTGAAATCCAGCAGGTTCTGACAGGTTCTAGAGAACTGGTAGTGGAAATTTTGAGTAGTTTGGAGAACCGGCAAATGCCACCTCTGGCCCAGAGTTGGGTGGGAATGGAGTTTTTGCAGTATCCTTCCCCCAGGAGTGGGGAAGGAATGGGGATTTTGCAGTATCCTTCGCCTGAAGCGCCAGAGCTGAGCTGCCGTGCCCACTGATATGGCTACGAAGCCACCTGTGGCACGCGTGCCGTAGGTTTGCCATCACGGATCTAGGAGGAAAACATCTTAAATTATCATGGGATTGCAGGGTGCTGCAAATAGCCATAATTGCACTCCAGTCGCCGAGTTTCCAAAATGCAGTCGGGTGACCGTTGGGATACGTGTGTGTGTGATGTCATAACTTCAGAACCGGGTCGTCAGTAGCTTTGGGGGGAACCGTCATAACTGCAAACGGTCACTCAGTGACAAGCCGTAAGTCAAGGACTTACCTGTATCAAAGCCCAGGAGAGGAGTGGAGCATTTTGGAGAAATTGTGAATGCTCCAACACTGGAAATTCTTAAGAAGAAGTTGGATAACCATTTGTCTGAAGTGGTGGAGGGTTTCCTGCCTGAGCAGGGGGTTGGACTAGAAGACCTCCAAGGTCCCTTCCAACTCTTGTTATTCTATTCTATTCTATTCTATATTCTATTCCATTCCTTATTCCATTCCTTACTCCATTTCATTATTCTATTCTATTCCTTATTCCATTTCCTATTCTATTCTATTCTATTCTATTCTATTCCATTCCTTATTCCATTTCATATTCTATTCTATTCCATTCCTTGTTCCATTCCTTATTTCATTCCATTTTCCATTCCTTATTCCATTTCATATTCTATTCTATTCTATTCTATTCTATTCCTTATTCCATTCCTTATTCCATTTCATATTCTATTCTATTCCATTCCTTGTTCCATTCCTTATTTCATTCCATTTTCCATTCCTTATTCCATTTCATATTCTATTCTATTCTATTCTATTCTATTCTATTCCTTGTTCCATTCCTTATTTCATTCCATTTTCCATTCCTTATTCCATTTCATATTCTATTCTATTCTATTCCTTGTTCCATTCCTTATTTCATTCCATTTTCCATTCCTTATTCCATTTCATATTCTATTCTATTCTATTCTATTCTATTCCTTATTCCATTCCTTATTCCATTTCATATTCTATTCTATTTCTATTCTATTTCCTATTCTAGAATAAAAGAAAAACAAAAAAATACAAAAAGTTGGGAGATCCAGAAAGACAAGACTCGTGAAAATAAACCAACAGCATCGACTTACCTTGTATTTAAAAGCTATTTATTGACATTTTTTTTAAAAAAAAAAATCCTAACCGTAACAAGACGAGAAAAATATAAAAGACGTATTGCTTTTCTGATCGCTTGTGCAGAGAGCAAAAGAGATGTCCCTCTAGAGTTGGGAAGTTAGGGCAAGCGGTCGGGGGGGTAGGATTGAAATAGGTTAATTCCGAGAGCGAAGAGTTAATTGCAGGACGGATTTCTTGATCTGGTAGCTTCAAAAACAAAAAACAAAAATATCCACTACAATAAGACAGTCTATTGACGTGGGCAGAGAACAGAGGTAAGTATCTTCACCATTGGAGAACTACAAGCCAGGATTCATAGTTGTCAGGGTTTGCCAACCTGAAGATGGGTGCACTTCAAGCCAGCCAACTCTGGGAGTTGAAGCCCATCCATCTTCAAGTGGTCAAGTCTGAGAAGAATTGGCCTAGATCAGGGGTATCAAACTCGAGGCACGGGGAGCCAGGGGTGGCTTCTGCATATGCAAATTGTTCATGATGACACTCGGGTGGCTGGGCGGAGCTTCCCGCCGCCATTACTACCGGTTCGCAAGAACCGGACCGAACCGGGAGCAACCCACCACTGCCAGAGGGGGGGCAGATCCGGCCCACAGAGTGCTTAAATCTGGCCCTCGGGGCTCCCCTGGAACAGCAAAAGGCCGGCCCACAGTGCCTCAGCCTGGCCCAGGCCGACTGGGCGCTGATCTACAACCTGGTGGCGGCTGTGTGGCAGAGTGCTGCAGAAAGCCGCCGTCGCAGCCGAAAATGGAGTTTGCGCCCCTCCCGAGCTCCCATTTTCATTGGCAGAGGGCTAGCAAAACAAACTTATTTGCCGTCCGCTGCCTAAGGCTCTGGACAGCCTTGAGCCACCATCCAGGAGTTCTCCACGTGGCCTGAGAGGTACAGCGAAGGATGAGAGTTTTGTTGTGGCTCCATTACCTGAGCCTGTGTCATCGGCAGGAGAGGACTCCGAGAGTGAAGAAGAGGAGTTGGCAAGGCCCCCCTCTCCAGGACCCTCCTCTCTGGCAATGCCTTCGGTGTCCGCTGAAGGGCAAGAGATAGGGCCAGGGCCAAGCACGTCCACGCAGCCGTAGATGGACAGTGATGAGGGTAATGAGTCTTGGCTGGATCCACGCCAGCGTCGCAGAGATAAGCACGCGCAACAGAGGAAAAGGATTTTGCCAGCTGGTTTGCCCTTTAACTCTTGAACGTCTGTTGGTGTGTGTGCGTGTGGTTGGGGACAGAACAGGTTTGGCGCTCTTCCTGGACTCTCCTTCCTTCACTGGAGACAGTGGATCCCCCCCAGCCAGTGGTGGAATTCAATTTTTTTTATTACAGGTTCTTTGGGCGTGGCTTGGTGGGCGTGGTGTGGCTTGGTGGGCATGGCTTGATGGGCATGATACTGCAAAATCCCTATTCCCTCCCCACTCCAGGGGAAGGATACTGCAAAATCCCCATTCCCTTCCCATTCCTGGGGGAAGAATACTGCAAAATCTCCATTCTCCCCCGACTCTGGGGCCAGCCAGAGGTGGTATTTGCTGGTTCTCCAAACTGCTCAAAATTTCTGCTACTGGTTCTCTAGAACCTGTCAGAACCTGCTGGATTTCACCCCTGGATTGTGGCCCCCGGCGGACAGCAAGCAGGGAAATGACCTCAGACCTCGGGCCAAATCACAGATTTTGGCAGAAATGCCAAATTCTTTTAGGAATTCAAAGTGTAAAACGTGATCGTGTTTCCTGCTGGAACCAATTTTCCCGTTTCTCAGACAAACATGTCCGCGGACAACTTTCAGCTACTAACACTGCTACCGGCAGCAGATTGTGAGAAGATTGGTGTGTGTGTGTTTTCCATCGGCTATTGAACGGTTTGAGGCATTTCGCTCCATGCTTTGGCCTTCTTCTTAGCCAGAGACAGCCACGGAGGTTCGGTGGAGCTGCAGGAGGCCACGGGAAGGATTGGTGGTAATCTGGTGTCCTTTTCCACCCGAGGACCTTCCTGGGGGAGGATTCTGGCACGTCCTTCTGAAAAAAAAATGTGGGGCATCAAGAACGTCTGAAGGCTACGGACACCTAAGAAGAATCACATCGTTTTTGGGTGGTTTCCCAAGATGCTTTTTTTCCAAAAGGCAATTTTCCTTTTTAATTTTTTTTTTTGAAAACATTTTGCTTCCTCTCTTCCTTCCTCCTTTTCCTCCTCCTTTCCCATTTTCCTTTTTTCTGCTTCTTTTCTTCCTTCCTTCCTTCCTTCCTTCCTTATCTCTGTCTTTTCCTTCCATCCATCTCTCTGCCTGCCTTCCTTTCTTTCTTTGTCTTTCTTCCTTCCCTTCCTTATCTCTTTCTCTTCCTTCCTTCCTCTTTCTGTGTCCCTTCCTTCCTTCCTTCCTTCCTTCCTTCCTTCCTTCCTTCCTTCCTCTTTCTTTGTCCCTTCCTTCCTTCTTTCCCTTCCTGTGTGCAGCAGCTGCCAAAAAAGCCAACACAGTTCTGGGCTGCATAAACAGAGGGATAAGAATCAAGATCACGTGAAGTGTTAATACCACTTTATAAGGCCTTGGTAAGGCCACACTTGGAATATTGCATCCACTTTTGGTCACCACGATGTAAAAAAGATGTGGAGATGCTAGAAAGAGTGCAGAGAAGAGCAACAAAGACGATTAGGGGACTGGAGGCTAAAACATACGAAAACAGTTGCAGGAACTGGGTATGTCTCGTTTAATGAAAAGAAGGACTAGGGGAGACATGATAGCAGTCTTCCAATATCTCAGGGGTTGCCACAAAAAAGAAAGAGTCAAACTATTATCCAAAGCACCTAAAGGTAAAACAAGAAGCAATGGGTGGAAACTAATCAAGGAGAGAAGCAACTTAGAACTAAAGAGAAATTCCCTGACAGTGAGAACAATGAATCAGTGGAACTACTTGCCTCCAGAAGTTGTGAATGCTCCAACACTGGAAGTTTTAAAGAAGATGTTGGATAACCATTTGTCTGAAGTGGTGTAGGGTTTCCTGCCTGAGCAGGGGGTTGGACTAGAAGACCTCCAAGGGCCCTTCCAACTATTCTATTCTGTTATTACCTTTGGCAGCCAATGGCGCTGACTTCAACGGTACTTTACTCTCCAATAGACACACATTTTGGTTAGGGCCAGTTTTCTGTAGTTGTTGTAAAGTAAAAAAAGAAAGATACAATTTAATTTTTTTTTAAATTAGAAAACATTAAATTTAAAAAAGCTTTTTAAAAAAACATTACATTTAAAATTTAAAAGATTTTTCAGGAGGATATGGGAGAGTTTTCTGAAGGCTCGCACCAACGGGATAGATAGATCCACCCTTTATGTGAGGCAGCTTGCAATATAAGTAATCCTCAACTTACGACCACAACTGACTTGACATTTCCATAGCTGAGCAAGACAGAGTTTTGTCCTATTTTACGACCTTTCTTGCTTCCGTGATTCAGTGAATGACCGCAACTGTTAAGTTAGTAACACGGTTGTTAAGTGAAGCTGGTTTGCCCCATTGAATTTCCTTGTCAGACAGTCGCAAAAGGGGGATCGCTGCAACTGTCATAAATACGAGTCAGTTGCCAAGTGTCTGAATTTGATCACGTGATCATGGGGACAATGCAACCATCATAAATACAAGTCAATTGCCAAGCGTCCAATTTTGATCACGTGACCATGGGGAGGCTGCAATGGTCGGTCATAAGTTGCTTATGGTCACTAAATGAACATTTATTTATTTATTAGTTCAATTTATATGCCGCCCTCCTCCGAAGACTCAGGGCGACTTACAATGCACTTATAGCAATAGCTTTCATTCTTTTGTATATACCTGCTTATTAGGGCTTTTGGCCCCCCCCATAAGCGGTGTTTCTACAAAGTCAGCTTATTGCCCCCACAATCCGGGTCCTCATTTTACCTACCTCGGAAGGATGGAAGGCTGAGTCAACCTTGAGCCTGGTGAGATTTGAACTCGCACTAATTGCAGGCAGCCGGCAGCCAAGTCCTACGTAACAGCACGTAGTCCGCTGCACCACCAAGGCTCTTAGAACAATTCTAAGTGGAGGACTCCATTATTCCCGTGGCATTCCACACGCCGACAGATTCACATGGCGTTACTCCAAAATATCTGTGTGTATTTCTACCGTACCTTTTCCAGGTGAGATGCACTTATAACCTTGGCATCCTCTTTTCCCGTTTTGGCTGTCGCGTCCTCTCTCTTTTTCTGTCCCTTGGCCGCCCCGTCGTCCTGGAATCCTTGCTGCTTCTGTTTCACCACCGAGACCCAAGTCGGCTGAACGGAGGCGCTTCCCGAAATCACTCCAGGGGTTTGTTCTAGAAGAGAAAGGGATGGAAATCCACGTTTCAGGATTTGCCTTCTCAGCTGGGACCTACCGTGTTTCCCCGAAAATAAGACCCTGTCTTATATTTTTTTTGCCAACAAAAAAGGCACCAGGTCTTATTTTCAAGGAATGTCATCCACTGACTCACCTCATTTGCGTGCATCACCCCTACTCTCCTTTTCGCTGTCAGAGGCCTTCAGGAACTTCTTCTGCGGCAGGCAAGGCTTTCCTGAAGGTCTCTGCAGCTGATAACAGAGCTCTGGATCGATCCGGAACTCTGTTACCGGCTGCAGAGGCCTTCAGGAAAGTTGCAGAAGAAATGGGTCGGCAAGGCAGATGTCGGGATGTGTGCGAGGCCTGGCTGCAACTGTCTGAAGGTAAGTAATTGGGCAGCTCCATCACCCCCTATCTCCATCCCAGCTTAATTTTTACCTGTGGACCCTGGAGTAGGCGGGGTCTTAATTAGGGCTTATTTTGGGTGCATGTGTAAAAATCAAGCTAGGACTTATTTTCGGGGTAGGTCGTATTTTCGGGGAAACACGGTACCTGTGCTCTAAGACTGCCTATTCACCTTCTAGTAAGTGTCAACTTGCAAAGCTTTCAAGCTGCCATACGCAGGAGGGGAGAAGAACTATCGGGGAGAACTATCGGAGATCACTGAGGACTAGGAGCATAGGCTTTCCAAGCAGAGAGAAGACCTGCAGGAGTGCAAGGCTAAGTACCGGCACCTGGAGGCTCAGCGGGCTGAGATGGTCAGCCAGTTCCAGGCCATGATACAGTCCTACTGGGACAAGGTCCTCCAGCTCTTCACCACCAGTGGTGCTTCCTTCCAGCCTCTGCCCAAAGCCCAGCACCAAGAGGCTGAAGCAGACCCCTGAAGTTGGAATTTCTGCCCCCCTCCAACCTGCACAAAAAGACCCTGAAGAGGGGAGACTCTCTGCAGCAACACAAACGTTCATTGCATGTATCCAGCCCAGGGGGCGTAGTTTGAGGACCCTTGATTTAGTGCAATATTAAAAATGCAAATCATTTTTCTTCGGACCTCCACAATTTTCTTGCAGACCACCAGTGGTCCACGGACCACCAGTTGGTGACCGCTGGACTAGAGGCCTCCAAGGTCAACTCTGTTATTCTATTAAAATTGTGGAGAGATTGATTCTCCTGATGTAGGAGAAGGAGAAGCAGAGCCTGGGGATGGAGTCAAGAGAGGAAGCAGCCTGGAGTCATTACATTCCCACAATCGGTCCAGATTCAACCCCTCTTGACTTCTGTTGACGCTTAACTAGCACCAACTTAATGCTGACCATTAGCTGACTAGATTCTTGTGTATAAGGTAAAGGTTCCCCTCGCACATATGTGCTAGTCGTTCCCGACTCTAGGGGGCGGTGCTCATCTCCGTTTCAAAGCCGAAGAGCCAGCGCTGTCCAAAGATGTCTCCGTGGTCATGTGGCCGGCATGACTCAATGCCAAAGGCTCACGGAACGCTGTTCCCTTCCCACCAAAGGTGGTCCCTATTTTTCTACTTGCATTTTTTACCTGCTTTCGAACTGCTAGGTTGGCAGAAGCTGGGACAAGTCACGGGAGCTCACCCCGTTATGCAGGACTAGGGATTCGAACTGCTGAACTGCCGACCTTTCGATCGACAAGCTCAGCGTCTTAAGCCAGTGAGCTACCGTGTCCCTGGGTGACTCTTAACTAGCACCAGCTTAACGCTGACCATTAGCTGACTAGATTCTTGTGTATATGAGCAATAAATCACCTTAACTGGAAATTCGTGCCTGAGACCTTCTGCAAAATACGAGACCTCGTTGTATGCTCTACTACAACACCCATCGATTTCCCACTGTACAGCAACTACACTGTAACTAGAGAAGATTCCCCTTCACCCAAAGGGAAAGGAAGGGAAGGAAAAACACAATCAGATTTGCACGCTTCTGTTACTACAGCCGTTCTAATGAAAGTTGCATAGCTTAGCAATGACCTCTATGGCATCATTTGCTTAGCTTGGTCTACCTTGTTGGCCAACGTCCTCCCATCTCAATAAGAGAAATACCTGAAGGTTTGCTTGCTTGTGGCTTGGTGCCTCCTTCTCCAGCTTTGGTCTTCTGCAGATTTTTCTCTTGGATGCCGGAGTTTGCAACCAAACCCTTAACACCGGTAGTAAGGTTTTGAAGGTTGGTTCCAGAATTTGGTGCCTTGGTTTCCGTTTTTACAGAGGACGGTGAAGGAACTGCCAATGGCACCACCTTGGGGGTGTCCCAGTGATGTTCTGTTTGGTACTTTAGCAAAGAAGAAGTTCTCCTTAATTTCACTCCAAAGGGACTTTCAGAGTTTTGGACTTCCTCACCGGAAGAATTCAAGGGGACCCCCATGTTTCTATTAGCCTTGTCAGATCTTTCAGGAGTGTTTAATATGTGTGAGGCTGCATCTAGTGGAGAAGTTCCTTCAAACAATTCTGGTTTTATGGGAGATGTTGGAGAATTTCGAGGGCAGGAATTGTCGACCGAGCTTGAACCTCCTGAGAGAGACCTCTGCCAGGCTGGAGCGATGGTGAATCTCACAGGCTTTGCAGAAGGTGGCTTTGTCTGGGTCTTGACCATCTCCGTAGCTTTGCTTTCTTCCTCGGTGATGACGTTTCCCAGCTGAGCTCCAGAAGCGCTGACAGGAGGGCGAGTTTTGGAAGCCACCTCGGTAGATCCCACAGTGGATGGTCTTCCAGAAGAAAGACTACCCAACTCTTGAACGGTGCTGTCCGCAGGTAGGAGGCATGGTTTCTTACCCGCTGCATTCAGAAGCACAGGTCTATCGGGATCAACCTCCAACAATGTGCCCTGCAAAGAATCCGTCGGCTTCCCAGGGCCTTGAGAAGGCTGAAGTTCCATATCTGAAGGCCCTCTTCCATTTTTATCGACAGCATGCCTGTTCTTGTGCGTTAAGTCCTTTGGTGCATCTGAGGAGACCTTCAGAGCAGACAAAGAAAGCTGTGGAACACCCAACACGGGATCTGCTTCCAGAGAAGGAGAATTGTCTCCACAGACAGCTCTATCACATGCTCTCTGTCGGTTCCTGGCAGGTTTAGAAACATTTGCTCGGGCATCTGTTCGTTGCGAGCGAGCTATTTGGTTATCTTCTGCTCCAAGTTCTTTCTCTACTTTACTCTTTGGCAAAGCAGAAGGTGATGCACTATGGAGTCCAATGGCTTTGGTCTTCAAGTGGAAAGATTCGGAGTTCTCTGTGACTTCTGGACCACTCTGTGCTTTTTGATCACAAGTTCCTTTCTTCTCCTCATTGTCCATATTCTCTCTTTCTCCATCTTTGATGAGAGAGGATGGTACATTTGGAGAGGGCTTGGTGGAGCTCAATTGGAGCTGAGTCTCCAGCAAGTTCTGGGCATCTGATATCAAGACAGACATTCCATCTTCCCAGAGATTAGTGGTGCAAGAAGAAGGCAAAGCTTCAGAGATTCTGGTCCCAGGTGATGCAGGGTCAGTCCCATCTTCATTGACATTCACCACAGGGTGGCTCAACAAGCCTAGATAAGAAAAATGAAGAGAAGAGAAGGTAAGGGTTTCCAAAAATGACAAAGTTTCATCTCATTTATCTTGACCATGTCATGCGGAGGAATTCACTGGAAAAAATAATTAATTAGCAGTAGAGGGAAACCAAGCTGCCACAATGGCTGGACACTCTCAAAGCTGATACCAGAGCATGGAACGACTCAAAGAAGCAGTGCAAGATCAGAAGATGTGAAGACACCAGGCCCATGGAATTGCCAAGAGTCAGACACAACTGAATGGATAACATCATCAGCATCATCACTACCATCATCTTCATCAACATCATCATCATCTCAATCATCATCACCATCATCAACATCATCGTCATCATCACCATCTTCATCATCATCATCACAATCTTCACCATCATCTGCTTGGGAGGGGGTTGGAATAGACCACCTACCAGGTCCCTTCCAACTCTGTTAATCTGTAGCTGTACCTCCCTCATTCCATCATCATCTTCATCAACATCTTCGTCAACATCATCATCATCATCATCATCAACATCAACATCAACATCCTCATCGTCTTCATCATCAACCTCATTGGTTTCCAGCAGTGGTGAAATCCAGCAGGTTCTGACAGGTTCTGGAGAACCGGTAGCGGAAATTTTGAGCAGTTCGGAGAACCGGCAAATACCACCTCTGGCTGGCCCCAGAGTGGGGTGGGAATGGAGATTTTGCAATATCCTTCCCCCAGGAATGGGGAGAGAATGGGGATTTTGCAGTATCCTTCCCCCTGGAGTGGGGTGGGAATGGGGATTTTCCAGTATCCTTCCCCTGCCATGCCCACCAAGCCACACCCACCAGGCCACACCACACCCACCAAGCCACGCCTACAGAACCGGTAGTAAAAAAATTTGGATTTCACCACTGGTTTCCAGCCTTCAAATCTCAATACAAGGAAGTTCTCGGTTGCCTCCAGAAATATGTACCATGTACTGGTTGTTGTAGATGACCAACCTGAGCACGAGGGTGGGGTCAAACGCATCATTACTCTGGAGTCCCTACGGCCCCAGAAGAGGCTTAAGTCCGGTCCGCTCCCCTCCCACCCTTGAACTCCATTGACTCTTATCTGGGGCCAATTCTCATTGAACTCAATCCTGGCTCCTGATTTCCTGCACTGACACAGTTGGCCTTACCTTCCCACGCTTTCCTCTGGCCAGTGGCTTCTTCGAGGATTTTGGAGGGGCTTCTTTTATCCTCATCAGGCACCAGAAGTTGCTGCTTCTCCAACATCTGCTCCACCTGGAGTGACAGAGATGGCCTGCTTAGTGACCGGTACAACTTAAACCACCATAATTCCAAGCTCAATGATGATCATAAGTTGAAGGCTACCTGTATGCAGAGTTGCCTTGCAGAGAGATGGGCAGCAAACACATTTAATAAATGAATAAATTAAATTAAATAGAGCCCAAAATTTATGCTGCGAAGCGAGACAGTTGTTAAGTGAGTGACACAGTTGTTAAAGGGAATCTGGCTTCCCCGTTGACTTTGCTCATTAGAAAGTCGCAAAAGGAGATCACGTTACCCCGGGACACTGCGACCGTCATAAATCTGAGTTGGTTGCCAAGGGTCTGAATTTGATCACAAGACCGCGGGGATGCTACAACGGTCGTAAGTGTGAAAACTGGTCATAAGTCACTTTTTTCGGTGCTCTTGTAACTTTAAACTGTCACTAAATGAATTGTTGTAGATTGAGGTCTACCTGTAACTATCTATCTAACTCTCTGTGGTTTACAGTTTTTTATTAGCTTATAATTTAAAATATGACAATGCAAAAGCATTGCTGAGCACATTGTAAGCCGCCCTGAGTCTTCGGAGAAGGGCGGCATATAAATCAAAATAAAAAAAAAAAAAAAAGCAAATAGGAGGAAACCAAAGGGAGGGATAAATGGAAGAGAGAAGCATAGAAAAGAAGGGAAAAAAGGCGTAGACTTCCAACTCTCTCTGTTGCAGTAGAATAAGGCATTATACACCCAACCTCAACTTTTTACTTTTCCATCATAGTATAAACTAGCCATATCTAGAACAATAAATCTATCCAATCAGTAAAACCCAAAATCAAAGTTTCATTTTTTTTCCCCGCCCCAAGCAGAAAGTCCAGAAGCGGTTTCCAAGGAGAAACAAAACTAATTGTGTTTTTTTTTCCCCTTTGATCAAAACAGACCATTTAACCATCTCTGCTAACTCCATCAACTTTTGCAGGCATTCTTTAAACATTTAAAGATAAATCAGCGAAATGTTGGAAATGCCACCAGACACCGGGGTCGTATGTGGTGGACATGCGTAAAAGCCAAAAAATATTGGACAAAAATATGTACATAGTTGGAGGAGAATGATATATCAGCATATCGATCTGAAGCTTGAATTATTTGTGTTGGGGATTTTACCAGAAACTTACAGTAAGGAAAATGTATATTTGATAATTCATGTCATAACTGCAGCGAGGATTGTATTTGCACAAAATTGGAAAAATGAAGAGATCCTTATGGATGAGAATGTGCTTAGGAAAATATTAGAATGTGCAGAAATGAATAGGTTAACACTTGAAATTAAAATTGATTATTATAACACACGGGAATTATTTGATCAATGGTTAGAGAATAAATATGAAAAGTGGAAAAAAAGCAGAAGAGTGAAACAGAGAAAATGTTTTAATGAAGTTAAATAAGTTTAAGAAGAGGACTGTTTTAGTATTAACTATGGTATAAATTACTATTAGTATTAAGTGAAGAATAGATAAAAAAAATAAATATTGGCTGTAAATTGTAATTGTTATTGTATAGAATATTTGCACAAGATATTTGTACCCAGACAACATACTGTTTAATGGAAAATGATGTTTGAATCAAAATAAAATAAAAAAATTGGGGGGGGGAAACTTTTGCAGCAATTCGTCCATGGTGGAGATCTAAACGTCCTTCCATTTTTTGGGCATAAAGTAATCTCATTACTTTACTAACTAACTAACTCACTCACTCACTCTCTCTCTCTCTCTCTCTCTCCCTCTCTCTCTCCCCCCCTATCTTTTTTTCCAAAGGACCTTGTCCTAACAGCTACTCACAAGAGAATGGTGAGTCTTCTTGCGAACCCTTTCTGCTTCCGTGGGTTCATCGCAATCCTGTGCCTGGCCGCTGAGGTATCCAGGCAGGCAAGAGGAGAAGCCGGAGTGTTGAAATCAACCGGAATCCTCTGTCCATGGGGCGAGACAGGACTCCCCGGAGGAACTGAGCAGTGATGCTTGGAAGGAGACCCCGAAGCGACCTACAGAAGAAGGCATGATAATGTGCTTCAGCTGCTGTCTACATTCTACATACCATACTTTTAAACTTTTAATAATAATAATAATAATACCGGTATTTACCTGACTGATATTTACCTGATTGTCTTCGCCGTCTGTCTCATCTGAACTCAAAGAGCTGCAGAGCTGAATAGGGCTGGAAGGCTGCATATAGAAGAGAGAGGCGGAAATTAAGGCAAATAAGAAATGCAGGATTTTGGGGGAAGCTATCAAAACGGTGTATATATATATATTCTGTTCCTCTTAAAGGAATGAGATTCCATAAATCCTTTCCAGGAACTAGCAGTGACTCTGAGAGGGATCTTAGAGTCTTAGTGGACAACCAGCTAAATATGAGCCAGCAGTGTGTGGCGGCAGCCAAAAAAGCCAATGCAATCCTAAATTGCATTAACAGAGGGATGCAATCAAGATCAAGGGAGGTACTAATACCACTCTACCACTCTAAAGCCTTAGTAAGACCACACCTAGAGTACTGCATCCAGTTTTGGTCACCACACTATAAAAAAGATGTTGAGACTCTAGAAAAAGTGCAGAGAAGAGCAACCAGGATGATGAGGGGACAGGAGGCTAAAACATACGATGAACAGTTGCAGGAACTGGGCACGGCTAGTCTAGTGAAGAGAAGGACCAGGGGAGACAGGATAGCAGTCTTCCAATATTTGAGGGGCTGCCACAGAGAGGAGGAAGGGGGTCAAGCTATTTTCCCAAGGCACCCGAAGGTCAGACAAGGAATAATGGATGGAAACTGATTAAGGAGAGATTCAACCTGGAAATAAGGAGAAATTTTCTGACGGTGAGAACAATCAACGGATGGAACAGAAGTTGCCTTCGGAAGTGGTGGGAGCTTCATCACTGGAAGCTTTCAAGAAGAGACTGGACTGCCATCAGTCAGAAATGGTGAAGGCTCTCCTGCTTGGGTGGACTGGATGACCTTCAATGTCCCTTCCAACTCTATTACTTCTATTATTCCAACTCTGTTAATCTGTAAACTGTGCTGAGCCCCATAATCTTGGATAGCTCTTAAAACTAATGTGTTCTACAGTGGAAAATCCATAAGATCAATTATCAATAGAGAACTGAACCCTGGAGTATAGTATTTCTCAACCTTGGCAGCTTGGAGATAGGTGGGCGTCAACTCCCAGAATTCCCTAGCCAGCTGGGTTGCCAAGGCTGCCAAGGTTGAAAAACACAGATGCAGAGTAAGATCTGGCTATGTTCCATCTGATGATTCCCGTTGAGGTTGACGCTGGTATCTACTGCCTCTTAGTGGGCAATACCACTAAAGACGCCGCGTAGGATAGACACTCTGAAAAAGATAAGATTATTTCAGGAGAGGGTGAGAAAAGGAGGGTTAGAAGACTTCCCCACCATCCATAATCCTGGATAAAGAAGCATTCACTAGGATAACTGTGGTGCTTGACTCTTCAGCTATCCTTTTGACAAGCCATAACTAGCTGATGTCTATGGACATTCTCAGTCATCCAGGTCATGGTTGTCCCAAAGGTGCTTTTTCAAGAGGCAAACTTGAAGAATAACAAGTTATTCAGACCACACTTGGAATCCTGCATCCAAGTTTTGGTCCCCACAATGTAAAAAAAGATGTTGAGACTCTAGAAAGAGTGCAGACAAGAGCAACAAAGAGGATTAGAGGACTGGAGGCTAAAACATATCAAGAACGGTTGCAGGAATTGGGTATGTCTAGTTTAATGAAAAGAAGGACTAGAGGAGACATGATAGCAGTCTTCCAATATCTCAGGGGCTGCCACAAAGAAGAGGGAGTCAAGCTATTCTCCAAAGCACCTGAAGGCAGGACCAGAAGCAATGGGTGGAAACTAATCAAGGAGAGAAGCAACCTAGAACTAAGGAGAAATTTCCTGACAGTGAGAACAATTAACCAGTGGAAAAACTTGCCTCCAGAAGTTGTGAATGCTCCAACACTGGAAGTTTTTAAGAAGAGATTGGACAACCATTTGTCTGAAATGGTGTAGGGTTTTCTTCCTGAACAGGGGGTTGGACTAGAAGACCTCCAAGATCCCTTCCAACTCTGTTATTCTATTCTATTCTATTCTATTCTATTCTACTCTACTCTACTCTACTCTACTCTACTCTACTCTACTCTACTCTACTCTACTCTATTTTCTGACAGTGAATACAATCAACCGATGGAACAGAAGTTGCCTTTGGAAGTTGTGGGAGCTTCATCCCTGGAGGCTTTCAAGAAGAGATTGGACTGCCATTTGTCAGAAATGGTGTAGGGTCTCCTGCTTTGGTGGGGGGGTTGGACTAGATGACCTACAAGGTCCCTTCCAACTCTGTTAATCAGTATCTGTATATTTTCCACAATTGGAAGTGAGGACATATCTCTAAATGACCACGAATTCTGTGCCTGGATTTTTTTTTGCCAAGAACGGTGAATATTGCTGTAACAGAACCTTAAATCCAAATAATCGGTGCTCCTAAACGAAACTCGATAGATGTGGCTTTATAGATCAACCCAGAGAGACAATATAGGATGAAATTAATTCTGTTGGGAGATATGAATGTATTTGCTTTGAGTTGTGAACTGCACAAAATGTATTACGGACAGTTCTCGAGTTACAACCGCAATGGATCCCTCAATTATGGTCCTAAGTCATATCGGTCAAAAAAACTGATCGGTCACACGACAAAACCTCATTTTACTTTTCTTTTTTTGTGGGGGGGTCATTAAGCAAACACCGCAGTCACTAACTGAACCAATGATTCATTATGGGTTTCTCAGAAAACGGGATATAAACTGGCAGTTTTGGGCAAATCCGTAATGAAATTCAGTCACGTCACAGCAGGATGCGGCAAACAAAAATAAATACCGCCATATTGTAGAGGATTTGGAGTGCGATCACATGACTCCCCAGGGGGAACCATTTAAATTTCAAACCTGGATCACGTGTCCCCTTTTTCAGGTAGGTCATAACTTTGAATGGTCACTAAACGACAGCTGTAATTTGAGGACTACTTGTATTCAAGCAGGGTTGTTCTCTATGACCTCTCGGCTAAGAAATTTCACCAGGCCCTTACCTGAGTTATAGAAGATGCCAGAACATCATGGATGGTAGAGATGTCTAGAAGGCTACTGGGCAAACCATCATCTTCTGAAACAGCGTTTAGATCATCCATCCTTTCGCCGGAGCTAATTACAAGCGGAGACTCGAGGCAGAAATTTTGCTGCAACAGAAAATGTAGAAGGTGGAGATTATCTTTTTAAAAAATGACAACAAAAGAAGAGGATTTTTTTAAAAAACAACCACAACCTTGTTTCTATTGTTTATGGATGAGTTGGGCTGAAGGAGTCAAATGTCAAGATATTTGAAGATTGCCAGCTTTGGGAGAATATTATTCCTAGAAATACAGCTTCCTTAGCCAGAACAGTTTGGCTTTTTATTATAATGGCCTTGTTGTTGAAAATTAGCGGTTTAGGAATTGAAACATTTTAGATATTAGATTAACAGAGTTGGAAGGGACCTTGTAGGTCATCTCGTCCAACTCATGTAGTTTGGGCTTGTCCTTCAGCTAGGGCTAAATTCAAGAATTTTATATAGGTAATCCTCGACTTACGACCTCAATTGAGCCCAAAATTACTGCTGCTAAGTGAGACATTTATTAAGTAGTTTTGTCCCATTTTATGATCTTTCTTGTCACCGTTGTTAAGCGAATCCCTGCAGTTGTTAAGTTACTCATATGGTCGTTAAGTGATTTTGGCTTCCCCATTGACTTTGCTTGTTAGAAGGTCACCTGGGGTCACTGTAACGGTCATAAATATGAGTCAGTTGCCAAGCATCTGAATTTTGATTATGTGACCGCAGGAAAGTTGCAATGGTTTTCAATGTGAAAAGCAGTCATATGTTTTTTTTTTTTCAGCGCTGACCAACTTTAGACGGTCACTAAATGAATTGTTGCAAGTCAAGAACCGCCTGTACGGCTTCCTTAGTCAGTTTGGCCTCTTATTACAATCACCTTGTGGTTGGAAACGGTGGTTCCAAAATTGAAACATTGAACTCATATAGTTTGGGCTTGTCCTACAGCCAGAGCTAAGGCTGAAATTCAAGAATTGGGTAAGTTTAGAGCCGTCACTGCTTTTTATGGACACATACGCTCGTGCGAGTTTTTGAGGCTTATGTTTAGGCCCAAATGGTTTCCTGCACAAGCAGGATTAAGATTCCCAAAAGTCCCTCTCACCTCAAAATTTTTCACCTTCCCAGGGAAATTCTCCTGCAAGGATGCATCCCCAACCACATCATGTAACGCTTCGGAAGGAAATTCATCGTCCTGCAGCAAAGCTTGGTTTCCCGTACTTCCATTGAACCTGAAAGTTGAAATAAATCTATTTAAGCTTTTCAAAGGTTGCCACCGTGTGAAAGGAGAAAGCAAATGTTAAGATTCTAATTTTTTAATGGTTGTTAAGTGAATCTCGCTTTCCCCATGCATGTCGGAAGTGTTGTGGCCCACCAGCAGTCAGCAGACTGGCAGCAGATTCGGACAGTGAGGAGGTTGGGGAGGAACATGGGCCAGTCCTGGAGTCTGGGGAAGGCTTGGATGAGGGCTCTGCGTCGGAGGCAGAGAGGAGACCAGGGCCGGATGCCAGTTGTCAGCTGCCTTCGGAGTCAGACATCAGTGAGGCAGACGAACAGCTGGGGCCTGTTCCCAGGGTGCGCATGCACAGAGTTGCCAGATGAAGGGAACAGCTAAAGAACAAGGGTCGACTCAGGAGTAAAGCCACAGGTGGACGATGAAGGGCCCCTCCCAGAGGGAATAAAAGAGGAACGAAAGGGGAGTGGAGTTTGCAGGAGATAATTAGTTCGCTTAATTGGTTCTGTGACTCTCTGTGACTCCTTGCCAAGTTTTGAAGATATCGGCCTGGCAGCTCTCCAAGCCAGATAAGGTCTGTGATTGTAAATTCACCCTTGAAAGACTTTGCTGGATGTGAATGTGAAGAATTCACAGTAACTTAATAAAGAGGGGTTTTTTTTGTCAGGACAAGGAGTCTGCTTCATGCTCTTGGGAAGCCTAGGTCAGAACAGGAAGTCAGCTAGTCGCAAAAGTCACACCTGGGGATTGTGTGACTTAAGAACTCTACAACCATCAGAAACACAGGTTGGGTGGCATGCCTGAATCACAGGGACATGTACAGCAATGGTCATAAGTGTAAGAACCATCCATAAGTCACTTTTTCCATGAAGCGCGCACACGAAGAGAACCGGTAGTAAAGCCGGTTAGAACCCACCACTAACATTACCCTCCCACCAAGCCACGCTCACAGAACCGGTAGTAACAAATTTTATTTATTTATTTATTTATTTATTTATTATTTCAATTTATATACCGCCCTACTCCCGAAGGACTCAGGGCGGTGAACAGCCATAGAATAAAACATGTAAATACAAAATTTAAAATAAAGTAAAACGAATTAAATAATTTGGCTGAAAATTTAAAACCCCAATAATTTAAAACCAAATTTAAAATTTCCATTTAAAAAGGGGAAGAACTTAGGTCAGGCCAGCTTGATGAAATAAGAACGTCTTGAGCGTGCGACGGAAGGTGCGCAGATCCGGGATCCTCCGTATCTCCGGGGGGAGCTCGTTCCAGATAGTGGGTGCCCCCACAGAGAAGGCCCTCCCCCTGGGGGCCGCCAGTCGACATTGTTTGGCCGACGGCACCCGGAGGAGCCCCTCTCTATGAGACCGTACCGGCCGGTGGGAGGCTATTGGTGGTAGTAGGCGGTCCCGCAAGTACCCAGGTCCTGAGCCATGGAGCGCTTTAAAGGTGGTGACCAAGACCTTGAAGTGCACTCGGAAGACCACCGGGAGCGAGTGCAGCTCGCGCAGGAGGGGTGTTACATGGGAACGCCACGTCGCTCCCATTACCACCCGCGCGGCCGCACTCTGCGCCAATTGGAGCCTCCGGGTACTCCTCAAGGGGAGCCCCATGTAGAGAGCGTTACAATAGTCCAGACGGGAGGTGACAAGGGCATGAGTGACCGTGCATAGGGAGTCCCGATCTAGAAAGGGACGCAACTGAACATTTTACATTTCACCACTGGGCTAGAGGCTGTTTGAGGTGTCTCTCTGTGTATGTGTGTTTGTGTGTGTTTACTCTGGGGCTTGCCAGAAATGTGGGGGTGTTTGAGGAAAGATTTGGAGCGATAAAGGGGTGGTTTGAACCGCCAGCTGCCTGTGTTACCTTTGTGGCGTTCCCACAGGTCATCACAGATTCCCTGAACAACTAAGGAAGACAGGTCGTAGAACGAGGCAAAACTCACCGAACCGTCTCACTTAGCAGCAGAAATGCGGGTCTCTTTTTTGTTGTCGTTAAGTCGAGGCCTACCTGTGCAATGCAAGGCGCTGCAATACAATACGCGCACACAGATGCGCCAACACACATGCAACCGTTTTAAGCCAACCCCGCACATACCGCTAATTAGCCCCATCTGGATGGGTTTTTCAGGAAAGGGGCAGTCAGTCTGACTTCCTCTCGTTTTTTTCGCTTTCTGCCAGTGAAACCATTGCCTCCCAAGGGAAAACGTTGCGCCACTCAAAAAACCGTCGGGAGGCACGCTTGCAAAAGGGAAAGAGGAAATTCTCCGAATTCCAAGCCAGCTGTGAGATTTGTTTGTGCGCCCGACACGAGCGACAAGAGCTTCCTCGCTGGGGGGGGTGGGGGGAACGGGACACACAAAGACGAGGAGGAACAACTCACTCGGTTTCCCCAGGCGAATGGAGCAAGATGGAGTCCAGAGGAGGAGAGCCGCCATCGCTGTTGTCCTGGCTCGGCTTTCGCTTCGTCTCTTCCGGGGAGGACGGGAGATCTTTGCTCTTCTTTTTCTTGGCGAAGAAGTCCTTGAAGGTCTGGAATTTGGATTTTTTCTTCCCTGTGCAAAAAACAAAAACAAACCAGCTTAGACTGGTTTAATAGCCATAGCCCTTAGACTTATATACCACTTTACAGTGCTTTCCAGCCCTCTCTAAGTGGTTTACAGAGTCAGCATATTTGCCCCCAACAATTTGGGTCCTCATTTTACCCACCTCAGAAGGATGGAAGGCTGAGCCAACCTTGTGTTGGTAAGAATCGAACTCTTGGCACTGAGCAGAGTCAGCCTGCAATGCCGCATTGTAACAACTGTGTCACTACAACTTCCTTCCTTCCTTCCTTCCTACCTTCCTTCCTTCCCTCCTTCCTTCCTTCCTTCCCTTCCCTTCCTCCCGTCCTTCCTTCCTTCCTCCCTCCCTCCCATCCTTCCTTCCTCCCGTCCTTCCTTCCTTCCTTCCAGTCCTTCCTTCCTTCCCTTCCTTCCCTTCCTCCCTCCCTCCCTTCCTTCCCTTCCCTTCCTTCCTTCCTCTCTCTCTCTCTCTCCCTCCCTCCTTCCTTCATTCCTTCTTCCCTCCCTTCCTCCTTTGCAAGCAATAAAACTTATATACTGTTTCGCAGTGCTTTACATCCCTCTCTAAGCAGTTTACAGAGTCAGCATCTTGCCCCCAACAATCTGGGTCCTCATTTTATGGACTTCGGAAGTTTAGAAGGTTGAGTTAATCTTGAGCCTGGTGAGATTCGAACTGCTAAACTGCTGGCAATCAGGAGTCAGCAAGATTAGCCTGCAGTACTGCATTCTAACCCACTGTGCCACCACGGCTCAGCTACAGCTGAGAATCTAACCTTCTTGGTATGCCAAGACCTGTGACTTTCCACCTTTTATTACATTTTGGATTGCTGGATTGCATTTCAGAGCTCCATGGAAAATTAACCTCGAAAGGGTCCCAGGTGCTCTCTTAGCTTGGTTGATTTCTTTTTTTTAATTTGATTTATATGCCGCCCTTCTCCGGAGACTCAGGGCGGCTTACAATGCGTTAAGCAATAGCCTTCATCCTTTTGTATATTTATACAAAGGCAGCTTATTGCCCCCACAAACTGGGTCCTCATTTCACCTACCTTAGAAAGGATGGAAGGCTGAGTCAACCTTGAGCCTTGGCGAGATTCGAACCTGCAGTAATTGCAGGCAGCTGGTCTTAATAACCAGCTTAATAACAGGGTGCCTTAGACCACTGTACTACCAAGGCTCTTTCTTGCAGACATTTCATTACCAAACTAGGGAATGTCATCAGTGCTAGAAGGGAATGGGTTGTGGTGGTGTAAGAGGAGGAGGAAGAGGAAGAGGGGGGAAGGGGAAGAAAAAGGAGGAATGGAGGGAGAAGGGGAAAGAAAAAGAGGAGGAGGAGGAGGGGGGGAAGAGGGGGAAGAGGGGGAGGAGGAAGAGTGAGAAAAAGTTGAAGACAACTGTGGGGTCCTTGGTGCTCTCTGATCTTGGTTGCTTCCTTGCAGACATTTCATTACCACACTAGGCAACCTCATCAGTGCTACTAAGGAACGGAGCTGGCTTTCACTTGGAAATTGAACTGCCAATATTCTCCTTGATCAAAATCAACCTGGAATTTTTGGGCTGCGGGGGAGCTGCGTGTCTGCCACACACAGAGGGAAAGCTTGCAACCCCTTTGAGCTCATGTGCCAAAGACCAGCCAGCTTTCGTGCGTGAGGCGGGGCCGATGCCTGTGGCTTGCACAGACATCATGAGAGGGGCAGAGGCTAGCCGTGAAGGGACTGTGGCCCATTCTTCGGCTCAGCCAGAGGCCGTTCTCGCAGCTGGGGGGGACTCCTTTGAAACAAAGACAGACAAAGCATCCTTTAAGTGGATCTTTCGTCTCCAGCTTTCTGCAAATCAGATTTTTTTTTAATCCCTCACACACACACACACACACACACACACACACCCTTGCCCAAACACTCCGGTGCCAGGGGAGTAGGGTGCGAACAAGACTGTGACACCACCATTCGCTGCAGACGGCCGTCCCCTCGGAGACGCAAACGACGCAGACAAGAAGAATGACTACCTGTTTTTCCCTCGGCTGTGTTGGAGATGACGCCGGGGGTGATGGGGGGGGGGCAATGGAGACAATTAACACAACTTGGGTGGGTGGCACCCAGAGCAGCCTTTAAGTACTTGGACTGAATTGGACCATTTTCTACATTATGCTTATGCAACGAAGACAAATTCCTTGTGTGTCCAATCACCCTTGGCCAATAAAGAATTCTGTTCTATTCTATTCTATTTATTCTACTTTACTCTACTCCTTCTTTAAGGGACACAGTAGCTCAGTGGCTAAGAGGTCCCTTCCAACTCTGTTATTCTATTCTATTCTATTCTATTCTATTCTATTCTATTCTATTCTAATTCTATTCTATTCTATTCTATTCTATTCCTATTCTATTCTATTCTATTCTATTCTATTCTATTCTATTCCATTCCATTCCATTCCATTCCATTTATTTCAGTCTCTATTCTATTCTATTCTTTCTATTCTATTCTATTCTATTCTATTCTATTCTATTCTATTCTATTTTCTATCTTCTATCTTCTATCTTCTATTTTATTTTCATTCTATTCTATTCTATTTTCTATTTATTTTCTATTTTCTATTCTAATTTGCAAAGTCAAAGTATCACCTTGCGAAGTCAAGGATCAGGGGTGAAATGTTGTCCTTCGTGCTAGGTTGAATGATGATCTCGTTGATCATCTTCCACCTATAATGTTTTGTCCTCACCTCAGGCCTTTTGGGTCTCCTGCGTGAGCAGGGGGGGTTGGTCTAGATGACCTCCAAGGTCCCCCTTCCAACTCCGTTATTGTTCAGTTCATTGTTCTCACTGTCAGGAAATCTCCCTTTGGGCTTTGAAAAAGTGCAGAGGGATAGGCGCCCCCTCCCGCTGTCACGACCCTGACTCTTAAAACCCAACGGCTTGAAAACTCCCTCCCCCACTTCCCAGCATTGGTTGTTTTTAAGAACTCACCTGAAGATGCGTCGGCCGCCGCTTCCTCGCCATCCAACGTCTCTGTTGGTTGCTCCTCCGACGGGGTCATCGCGATGCAGCTCCTAAAGTTGCAAGCAGAGGAAGCAGAGGAATTTATCCCGAGGGGTTTGAGATCCGTGCGAGACACCGCTCGAATTCATCACACAACAAGCACCCAACTGGAGCTGCTGTGGGGGAGCCACCAGGATCTGGGGCGCTTCTCAATGCCTCCCCAGTCTCCGGCTCGAACTGGAAAACTATCTTTGCTTTTGCGGAAAAGGCTCGCCCACCCTTTCAGGAAATCCGGGATCAGGGTGTGCAGGAGAGGAAAGAAAACATTAAAAGGCCGCACGCTTTTTAAATTTTTATTTTTTATTTTAACACCGCTGGAGGAGAGAAACTCACGGGGCCCAACCCTAAATATGTTTTTTCCGGCTGAAAAGGAGACCTTCTGACAGACATCCAGGAAGCCGTAGCCTGAAGTTGACTCAGTGCAAACGCCTGTGGTTTGGGAATATTTTTTAAAGGAAGATTCTAGTCCTTAACGTTCTTGATAAGAAAACAAAGCAAACATGATTTTAAAAAATAAATAAAAATTAGAGGGTTCAAGCAATCCTGAAGTGGACGGCTAAGCCCAACCAACATTTTCCACCCATTGGCGGGGTCTTTGGCCTAAATCCCAAATCTTTTCCACATTTATTCGGGTTTTTTGTTCGGTTTTCTCCCTCAACTCCGGGCACCCATAAAACAAAAGCAGACTCACCCAGCCCAGATTTTGATCAGAGTTTGCAAAGCCCTAACGTGGTTTGTTGACTTTGACTTAGCATTCCTAAAAAATCCATACGATTAGGCTTTTTTTTTCTGGCAGCCAGCAAACACTCTGCTGCCCATTGGGAGACTAAGGAGACTCTCCTTAGTCTCCCAATGGGCAGCAGAGTGTTTGCTGGCTGCCAAATTTCGGTGGTTAAGTGACACCTTTGTTTAAGTGAGTTTGGCCGCATTTTACCACTTTCCTTGACACAATTGAGAAGGTGAATCACTCCAGGCGTTAAATGAGTCACATGGGTTGTTAAGCGAATCTGGCTTCCCCATTGGACTTTGCTTGACAGATGGTCGCAAAAGGGGATCACGTGACCCAGTGATGGGTTCCAAAAAATTTTACTACCGGTTCTGTGGGCATGGCGTGGCTTGGTAAGTATGGCTTGGTGGGCATGGCAGGGGAAGGATACTGTAAAATCTCCATTCCCACCTCACTGCAGGGGAAGGATACTGTAAAATCTCCATTCCTACCCCACTCCAGGGGAAGGTTACTGCAAAATCTCCATTCCCTCCCGATCAGCTGGGACTCGGGAGGCAGAGAATAGATGGGGGCGGGGCCAGTCAGAATTTTTACTACCGGTTCTCCGAACTACTCAAAATTTCCGCTACCGGTTCTCCAGAACTGGTCAGAACCTGCTGAAACCCACCTCTGACGTGACTCCCCCCCCCCAGGGACGCTGCAACTGTCATAAATATGAGTCACTTGCCAAGCGTTTGACTTTTGATCATGTGACTATGAGGAAGTTGCAACGGTCGTAAGTGTGAAAAATGCTCCTAAGTCACTTTTTTCAGTGCCATTGTAAGTTCGAACGGTCGCTAACCAAACTGTTCTAAGTCAAGGACTACTTGTATTAAACTGAGGAAGTAAATACAGGTAGTTCTCAACTTACAACTAGTCACGTGACTGCATTTTGGCCATTCACATTTACAGTTTTCACAGTCTCGTGACCACAACTTACAGGTGGCTTTGGAGAATAGCTTGACTCCCTCTTCTTTGCGGCAGCCCCTGAGATATTGGAGGACTGTTTTCATGTCTCCCCTAGTCCTTCTTTTCTTTTCTTTTCTTTACTTTTTTCTTTTCTTTTCTTTTCTTTCTTTCCTTCTTTCTTTCTTTCTTTCCTTCTTTCTTTCATCTATCTATCTATCATTCATTATCTATCTATCTACTACGGTATCTATCTATATCTATCTATTATCTATCTATTATCTATCTATCTATCTATCATCTATGTATTACAGTATCTATACCTATCTATTATCTATCTATACCTATCTATTATCTATCTATCTATTATCTATCTATCTATCATCTATGTATTACAGTATCTATACCTATCTATTATCTATCTATCTATTATCTATCTATCTATCATCTATGTATTACAGTATCTATACCTATCTATTATCTATCTATACTATGTTATCTATCTATACCTATCTATTATCTATCTATTATCTATTTATCTATTATCTATCTATCTATCATCTATGTATTACAGTATCTATACCTATCTATTATCTATCTATCTATTATCTATCTATCTATCATCTATGTATTACAGTATCTATACCTATCTATTATCTATCTATACCTATGTTATCTATCTATACCTATCTATTATCTATCTATTATCTATTTATCTATTATCTATCTATCTATCATCTATGTATTACAGTATCTATACCTATCTATTATCTATCTATACCTATCTATTATCTATCTATGTATGTATCTTCTCTATCTATCACAGTATCTATATCTATCTATTATGTATCTATCAATCTATCTATTACAGTATCTATATCTATCTATTATGTATCTACAGTATCTATTACAGAATCTATATCTATCTATCTGTCTCTCATCTATTGATCTATCTATCTATCTATTACAGTATCTATATCTATCTATTATGTATGTATCTATCTATTACAGTATCTATTATGTATCTACAGTATCTATTACAGAATCTATATCTATCTATCTCTCTATCTATTGATCTATCTATCTATTACAGAATCTATATCTATCTATCTGTCTCTCATCTATTGATCTATCTATCTATCTATTACAATCTATATCTATCTATTATGTATGTATCTATCTATTACAGTATCTATATCTATCTATCTATTATAGAATCTATATCTATCTATCTATCTATCTATCTATTATCATCTATCTATCTATCTATCTATCTATCTATCTATCTATCTATCTATTTATCTCATCTCCTTGACATTTCAAACACATCATTTTATTCTTTTCCATCCGCTGCCTTGCGTTTTCACATATGTTTTCTTTAAACAGCTCAATGTTTTTCAAAAAGGAAGCACAACCCAACAGGATGGGACAAGTGCCATTTTCGTGCTGACCAGGTCACACACAGCTCACGTCAAATGCGCCACACTATGATTTGAGGTGCCCAACCCACTAAATCATAATGCAGCCGAGTGCAAGCTCGGTGTGTCACACACACACACACACACAGAGGCGTTGTGATTTCTACAGCAGGATTTGTTAGCTTAAGGACGGACGACAGAGGAACGTGCATCCCTCCCTGCTTGATTTCAGGAAGTGTGGCGTGGAAGTGTGGAAACCAAACAAACTTTTGGTTTCGTGCAATGTGTGAGGTTGTCTCTACTCCTGCCTCGTCTCCTCTGAGCTGCGAGTTGTGACACAGGCTGGATGATGGTAGAGAAAAGTGTCTTGTGCGGCTTAGTGTTATTTCTTGCCCGTCCTACAACACAGCGAGAAGCCCCATGTCGGCATTCACAATCTCACAAACATTATTGGACCCAATGTGTTTCTAATTCACACACACATATACACAGCAGGCTGTCCCACCCCCACCTCCGAGCAGCGCTGTGCCTGGCAACCCCCTTATTTTAAAAAAAAAAAATTGCAAAAAGCAAGAACCATCTCCCTTCTCCGGCCCACTCCTCTCATTTCCTCTCCACCCCCCACCACCCCTCCCTCAAATGCAGGATATGGTATCATACTTCTGGAACCGGATCAGAGCGCCCGCTGAAAAAATGCTTAGCGTTTTTCAAATAGCTAGCAAAGACTCAGCAGCAGCACTCCGAGAAAGAGTCAATCACATTTCAATGGGTTTGGAAGGGGAGGGGGCAGCTTAAAGGCTGGGGTGGGGGAGGGAAGCAATGTGGAGAGATTAAATTGCTCTCTCACCCCCCCCACCGGTTTATTTGAGTCCAAGTGGATTCGATACAGATGTTCTGTGGCCAAGGAATTCAATCCGCAAGGCGTCTTTAGGGTGGATTGCCAGGAGGGTCTCTTTTGTAGATGTTTGATGGAGTAACATCAAACATCTACTACATCTACCATATAGGTAGTCCTCAACTTACAACAGCTCGCTTAGTGACCATTCAAAGTTACAATGGCACTGGCAAAAGTGACTTTTGTGACCATGTTTCGCACTTATTTCATTTATTTCATTTCATTTATTGGATTTGTATACTGCCCTACTCCCGAAGGACTCAGGGCAGTGAACAGCCACAGAATAAAACACATAAATACAAAATTTAAAAACAGAATAAAACCGAATTAAACAATTTGGCTGAGACAAATTTAAAACACCCAATAATTTTAAAAACAAATTAAAATTTACATTTTAAAGCGGAGAAGATTTAGGCCAGGCTGGCTTGATGGAATAAATAAATAAGTCTTGAGAGCGCGACGGAAGGTGCGCAGATCCGGGATCCTCCGTATCTCCGGGGGGAGCTCATTCCAGATCGTAGGTGCCCCCACAGAGAAGGCTCTCCCCCCTGGGGGCTACCAGTCGACATTGTTTGGCTGATGGCACCCGGAGGAGCCCCTCTCTATGAGAGCGTACCGGCCGGTGGGAGGCTATTGGTGGTAGCAGGCGGTCCCGTAAATAACCTTATGACCGTTGCAGCATCCCCTCGCTCAAAAATCAGAGGCTGGTTCATATTTATGACGGTCGCAGTGATCCTCTTTTGCGACCTGACAAGCAACGACAACGCTTAACAACCGGGGTGACTAACACAACAGCTGCAGTGAATCCCTTCACAAAGGTGGCAAGGAAAATTTGGCCAAAACTCACTTAACCAATGTCTCACTTCACAACAGCAACGTTGGAGCTCCGTTGTGGTCGTTAAGGGGAGGGCTAGCTGTATTTTCCAAACTTAAAGGCAACCTTAAAACGTGTGAATCTTCAATTCCCAGAATTCCCCAGCCAGCTTGTAACAGAATAACGGCGTTGAAAGGAACCTTGGAGGTCTTCTAGTCAAACCTCTCGCTCAGAAATAAAAAGAAATTTCCTGACAGTGAAAGCAATTAACCAGTGGAACAGCTTGCCTCCAGAAGCTGTGGATGCTCCACCACTGGAGTTTTTCAAGAAGAGATTGGAGAGAGTTTCCTGCCTGAGCAGGGGGTTGGACTAGAAGACCTCCAAGGTCCCTCCCAACTCTGTTATTCTGTTATTCAATGGCTGTCCAATTACTTCTTAATAATCTCCAGCGACGGTGCACCCCACAACTTCTGGTGGCAAGTTGTTCCACTGGATAATTGTTCTCCCTGTTCCCTACTCTAGGTCTGTACAGCTTGAGATTCAACTAATTCAGTAAGATCTGTGAAAGCGATGTTGATATTGACAGTGCTGTCTAGGCTGATTTTTGACCATAATAAAGTTTGATTTGATAACAATGTTCTCACAACCAAAACTCTTTTGGGGTACCAGTAACTGAAGGTGGATAATTTTATTGAAGGCTGATTTGGGAAAGCTAAACTGGGTTCAACCTGATTAGTGTACGGATGGGAGAACTTTCAGAAAATATATATAACTGTACACCAGAGTGGTATCGAGATATCCCAGAATGGAGATGTCCTGGCTACCAAAAATTGCAGAATAGTGTTTTTGCAAACTTGGCAACTGAAAAATGTGGGAACTTCCACTCCCCCAAATTCCCCAGGCAGCATAGGGGAATTTTATGTTATTTTATGTTCCAAATTCCTATCCGGTTATGAACCTCCCTCTGCTACTTCATTCAACCTAAGGCTTCATAAAACAGTTTATCCGACTTCAAAGGATTTCTTATCACAAGCTTACCATGCTCTTGTTCCAAAATTCCAGAAAGGAGATAAACTCCAAAGCTTTTTCAACCTAAAATAGCCTTCTTTCTCAATGACCATGGCCTCCTGATGCAAAGGAATCCCATTCTAATCAATTACTAATCAATTGCTAATTATTTGTAACGGGGTGAGCTCCCGTGACTTGTCCCAGCTTATGACAACCTAGCAGTTCGAAAGCACGTAAAAAAAAAAAATGCAAGTAGAAAATGCAAGGACCATCTTTGGTGGGAAGGTAACAGCGTTCCGTGCGCCTTTGGCATTGAGTCATGCCGGCCACATGACCACGGAGACGTCTTCGGACAGTGCTGGCTTTTCGGCTTTGAAACGGAGATGAGCACCGCCCCCTAGAGTCGGGAACGACTAGCACATATGTGTGAGGGGAACCTTTACCTTTAATCAATTACAGTCACTAACCGGGTCAGTACCCAAAAAATTCTTGTTCCCCAGCTATGAAACTCTCTGGACCCCTCTTTCTTAATAAACCAGCACAGAATTGTGGTGTCCCTGATCAATATCCTTCCCCCCCCCACTTTTCTTTTTTAATTTCATGGCACTTCAAGAAAAGCAAAAAAAGTTTTATTAGCAAACTCCTCTGTCAAATGAAGCGAGTGCTTTCCTTCCCAAAGGCATCTCCAAATCTGCAGAGGTTGCTCGGGGGTTTACAAGCCCTCCCAAACTATTTACGATGGAAGAACGGAGGTTGTAACAAGGAAGGCGTTATAGTGAGTAAGTAAGTAAGAGGTTGTGTTTTGCTTTCCAGCATCCACTAAACCGTGGTCTCTTTTCGGAAGGAAGAGGAAGGAGAAAAGCAAGAATGCATAAATGAAAACCACTTACTTGTTCGTCTTCAGACAGTTGTAAAAACCTGCCATGATCTTTTATACGGATCTTACAGCCCCGGTCAATCCACAAATATTTGAGCCTTCATCTGGCAAGCGTTTCCCGCCCCCATCTGAGCTGCTGAACTGAACACTGAGAAAATCCACACTTGCCAATTTCCCAACGCAACCACAAAGATACGACAGCCGGTTTGCTGATACAATGTAAAGTCACAGTAGGTTTTGCAGAATTGTTCCCAACCCTGGTACGAACTGTTCACTCCCCTCTTTTTCCTGTCTCGTTCTCTCTCTCCCTCCCACTCTCTCTCTTTCTTTCTTTCTCCCTCCCACTTTCTCTCTCTCTTCTCTCCCCCCTTCTTTCTCTCTCTCTCCTCTCTCTTTCTCTCCTCTCTTCTCTTTCTCCCTCCCACTCTCTCTCCCTCCTCTCTCCCCCTTCTTTCTCTCTCTCTCCTCTCTCTTCCTCTCCTCTCTCTCTTCTTTCTCCCTCCCTCTCTTTCCCTCTCTCTTTTCTCTCTTTCCCTCTCCCTTCTTTCTCTCTCTCCTCTCTCTCTTCTCCCTCTCTTCTCTCTTTCTCTCTCTCCCTCCTTTCTCTGTCCTCCCTCTTCTCTCTCTTTTCCCCTTTCTCTCTCTTCTCTCTTTCTCTCTCTCCCTCCTTTCTCTGTCCTCCCTCTTCTCTCTCTTTTCCCCTTTCTCTCTCTTCTCTCTCTCTTTACAGCTCAACCAAACGGCAGCATCTCAGTCCCAAATCTTAAACCATTTGTCTCTTTTTGGCAGAGATAACAAAAGCCTCCGGACGAACAAAAAAAAAGGAACTGTCCCATCTCCCTGGGAATTTTTATTTTTTAAAAACACAAAAAACAAAAACGGATAGTTTTAATCATTCCAGATAAACATTTGGAACGAGCAAGGGAACTAAAAGCATCCGCATAAACAATTTATCAAGAAGAATATCAAGTTTGTTCCCTTTGGCAAGGAGGAATGCCAACATGCCACAAAATTGTTGCAACATATATATACATATTTTTCTGACTGGGCTTCCCACCAGTTCAACCAATCCTTTTTTCTTTCCGTGGCCAGCAACATCTGATGGCCAGTCATTTTCGTGTTTCTTATTTTGCTTCCCTTTTTTTTTTTTTTTTTTTTGAACTTTTGCAGAAGTTGGACGGATCTGTCTAATTCTACGTGCTGGTTTGACTCAGAGGGGGAGAAAGCATTCGCCTCAGAAATACGTGGGAAACGTGGTTAATCCAATCTAGCACCCTTATCTTCTTTTTTTTTTTAATTAATCGGGGATCTGCAATTAATTCACGCCATTTCAGAGTTTTCTCCGTAGGACAAGCCTGTCTATTCTAAACTTTTTGCGACCTTCTGACTAGCAAAATCAACAGGGAAGCCAGATTCGTTTAACAACCATATTACTAGCTGAATAGCTGCAGTGATTCCTTTAACAACGGTGGCGAGGAAGGTCGTACAAGGGGGCAAAAATTCACTCAACAAATGTCTCGCTCAGCGACAGAAATTCTAGGCTCAATTGAAGTCGTATGTCAAAGTCTACCTATATCTGCAGTGAGAGTATTTTTTCTGTCTGTAATTAAACCATTCCCCCGCAGAGATCCAATGCTTACTGTTTTGCAAAGTTACATTAAATTTTAGTAATAATTAGTTTCTGGAACTCTGCACTTTGATATGGCCCAAGGGCTAATCAATAAATAAATGTTATGTATGCAAAGTTAACATTTTTGGTCTCATTCAAATAACTTTTACAGATCCAAAACAGAGGTTGTTTGGATGGGGGTTTTAGTGCACAGTCCCCGCAGCTTGAATAAACCATGATTTGTGGTCAAATCTCAGCCCTTGGATTGACTTTGTTTTGAGAGAGAGGCAAGATCAGACAAGGTAATTCTGTGTGATATAAACCCGTGGTGAAATCCAAATTTTTTACTACTGGTTCTGTGGGCGTGGCTTGGTGGGCATGGCAGGGGAAGGATACTGCAAAATATCCATTCCCTCTCACTCCAGGGGAAGGATACTGCAAAATCCCCATTCCTTCCCCACTCCTGGGGGGAAGGATATCGCAAAATCTCCATTCCCACCCCACTCTGGGGTCAGCCAGAGGTGGTCTTTGCCGGTTCTCCAAACTGCTTAAAATTTCTGCTACCGGTTCTCCGAACTGCTCAAAATTTCTGCTATCGGTTCTCCAGAATCTGTCAGAACCTGCAGGATTTCACCCCGATATAAACTGCATTCAGCCAAAACTGGAACTGTAATTCTTTTCTTTCATCGATTTTTAAAAACCAGCCATCTCAAACAAGCACTGGATATACAACCAGAATAAAAACAATTCCTGTCTATCAGGGATACCAGATTGAAATACAAACATTAAAATCTAAAAGAAAGAAAGAAAGAAAGAAAATGAAAATTAGGATTGTCGTAACTCATATAAACACCCGATTAAGTCTTTTGTTCTGGAGAACAGCTGCAGATTCATCGGCTAACAACCTACTTAATTCATTTCCAATTAAGCAAGTTCAAACAAACCAACATTCCTGCTTGCTTGGTGCTGATGGGCCAATACCCCTCAATGCATACTTTGTAATTGTAATTCATTACATTTTTAGGCATCGTTTGTTGACATAACAGTTTTAGATACTTTCACTTCATTGCAATTTGAGATGCCGTCCTACTTTGTATAATTTCCGTGTTTACGTTACAATTTCATATAGGCTGCATCCTAGATCTCACTTAAAGCAGAACAGAACTGGAAGGGACCTTGGAGGTCATCTAGTCCAACCCCCTGCTCAAGCAGGAGAACCTATACACACACCCATGCTCCCCCCATACGACCCCTCGATGCATGCGCATGTGACTCCGCATGTGCACGCATGCGAGCCCGCACATTCACACATGTCTCGTGCATGCACCCCGCCTCCTGCACATACTGAAAATCAGCTGACCAGCAGGAGGCGCACACATGCACAGTGGAGCTGATCTGGCTCCCGTACCCGCAGAAAGGGCTCCGTGTGCCAGCTGTGACACGCGTGCCATAGGTTCGCCATCATGGACCCGTGATTGCGAACCTATGGCACGCGTGGCACAGGTAGCAAGCAGAGCCATATTGGTGGGCACATGAGCTCAGCTCCGGCGTGCATGCATGCGCTGGCCAACTGATTTTCGGGCCTTCTTGGCCAACCAGAAGTAGGGAAACAGTTTCCTGTCTCCGGAGGACCTGGGGTGTGTGTGTGTGTGTGTGTGTGAGGAAGGCCTGTTTTTCTCTGTCCGCTTCCCCATGGATTTTGCTTGTCAGATGGTCACAAAACGGGCTCACACACGACCCAGGGGCACTGCAACCGTCATAAGTACGAGTCAATTGCCGACCGTCTGAATTTTGATTATTATTTTTTTTATTAATCATATTTCTATGCCGCCCACTCTCCAAGGACTCTGGGCGGCTTACAACAATCGACAGTATACTAAATAGCATATTGCCCCACAACAATCTGGGTCCTCATTATTGTGAGTCCTCATTATGTGGGTCCTCATTATGGGTCCTCATTATGTGACCACAGGGTCACAAGTGTGAAAAACAGTCGTAAGACACTTTTCTTCACTAACTCTGAATGGCCACTAAACAAACCGTTGTTAAGTTGAGGACTACCTCAGGAATATCTGGCATATTATCTCTGCCAGGAGAAAAACAATTTTAAGATTAGCAGCCTGCCCCCGGGGGCAAATGGAATCCTTTTAAAAGAAGGGGGGGAAGTGTTCTCATCCCAAACACATACTGTTAAAATCTTGACTTTGCCAAACACATATTATGTAAAGGACAAACACCATAATCTTCTGTGAAATTAATTTTCATCCCTAAGAAGAGAGAGAAAGAGAAAGGCAAGTTCAGACAAAGCCAAAATCTTCAACTCCCTCAGACTTCGGAGAGGCAGTCTAAAAACTCTTTACCTGTGAGCTACACAACCTAAACTCTCCAATTGCCAATTTTGTTTCCCCACCCCCACAAACCAGGTTGAAACAAGCCACTTTCCTCTTCCACCGTGATTTGTAGAGGGAGCCACAAAAGGCTGGGTTCACCACTCCTCCCTCGAACCCACGAGCCAAGCTTTGCATATCTTCACGATCACGTGTACGATACAAACTCCCCTACAGCTGAGTTTACCCATCGTGCAAATTTAATTCCTGGATGGCTTTATGCAATGTTTGAATCCGGTCGAGCCGATCAAACAGGACCGGACTGTTTCAGAATTAGCAGGGCTGCAAAAGGTAGAAATTGAGTAATACAGAGAGAAGAAGAAGCAGTCGCATAAGGACGGACCTTGTTGTTATTGTTAGTTGCGAAGTCGTGTCCTACCCATCACGACTCCATGGTAGAACGTTCCTCCAGGCCTTCCTGTCCTCTATCATCCCTCGGAGTCCATTTGAGCTCACGCCGACTGCTTCAGTGACTCCATCCAGCCACCTCGTTCTCTGTCGTCCCCTTCTTCTTTTGCCCTCAATCGTTCCCAGCATTAGGCTCTTCTCCAGGGAGTCCTTCCTTCTCATTAGGTGGCCAAAGTATTTGAGTGTCATCTTCAGGATCTGGCCTTCTAAAGAGCAGTCAGGGTTGATCTCCTCTAGGACTGACTGGTTGGATCGCCTTGCAGTCCAAGGGACTCACAGAAGTCTTCTCCAGCACCATCGTTCAAAGGCCTCCATTCTTTGGCGCTCAGCCTTCCTTATGGTCCAACTTTCACAGCCATCCATTGCAACTGGGAAAATCATCGCCTTGACTATGCGCACTTTTGTTGGCAGGATGATGTCTCTGCTTTTTAAAATGCTGTCTAACTTTGCCATAGCTTTCCTTCCCAGGAGCAAGTGTCTTTTAATTCCTTGGCTGCAGTCCCTATGTGCAGTGATCTTGGAGCCCAGGAAAATAAAATCTGTCACTATCTCCATTTCTTCCCCATCTATTTGCCAGGAGTAACAAAAATAATTCTGGCTTAAATTAAATTAAATAAACCGGGCACATACTACCACCTGTGGTGGACATGCCCAAAAGGAAAAAAAAAAAATTTAAGCCAGAACTGGCTTAAAATCTATATGCTGCCTTAACATTTTTTCTAACCACATATGCATATTTTGCCCAACATTTGTGTCCTTTTAGAGCAGTGTTTCTCAACCTTGGAAGCTTGAAGATGGGTGGACTTCAACTCCCAGAATCCCCCAGCGGGAACTCACCGCTGATGCTATCCCCGGTTTTGCAAGAAAATCCTGCTACAACTGAGCAGGCACTGAAACAAACATTAAACTCAATTGGATTTGCACAAAGGCAGC